ATACAAGTACAATTTCACTTGCATATTCTTAATAAGAGAAACCACACAAACACAAACAAAAATACATAATTATATGTATGATATATGACATGAATCAAACATTACAGCCACGTTCTGAGAAAAAATGATTACCAAAATACTTGTAAAGTATTTACAGTCAAAAACGTCATTAAAGTCATTCAAAGAAAATGACATTCAACACATATCTGAATAAAAAGAATAAAAAATTAAACGCATGTATCGGACAGTCAATCCCAAAGCTGAATGCCAAAACACTGAAAAATACGTTCGTGCAAAACGTGCGTAAAACGACACCTATCGGAACTACGTTATCAAGGTCAAGGAAAATTTTCGACTTATTCGCTTTGCTAAAACGTCGAACATTGCATGTATTTGAAGACAAGTCAACACGAATACACGAATCTTAAATGATTGAAGACTGGTTAACACGAATCTTAAATGCTTGAAAACGGGTTAACACGAATCTGAAATGATTGAAAACGTGTTTACACGAATCCTCAATGATTGAAAACGGGTTAGCATGAATTTTAAAAGATTGAAGCCGGGTTAACACGAATCTTAAATGATTGAAGACGGGTAAGCATGAATCTTAAATGATTAAAAACTGGTTAACACAAATCTTTGGGTTAACACGAATCTTAAATGATACTTCAAACATCCACTTTACTTTTATTGACAATTAAGAAAATATATCAGATTGAGAAAAGATGAACACTTAAACGACCAGGATATAAAATATCTATATGACAGCCAGTAATGATTTATAAGTGTTTGAAGTTTTCCTGGACCGTACTTAGACAAGATATAATGTTTACATCTGGTTTCAAGTAGACACAAGTAACGAGTGATATGTGATTGAAAAATTATCAACTACATCATGTACATACGATAATTAAACTCAGTTCACATAATGCAGCATTTTCATAGTATATAAACGATTTGTACCCAAACCGGATCTTGTGAGAAGATCTCAACATCAGTTTCTTACAAACAGGCGGGATGACTCATAAAACTTTTAAAGACGGCTTGCATTTAATCTGTGATTTGAATCGTATTAAGAAATAGTTTATCTTTGCTCATATATGCATCCATAACCTGCTTCGTTAAATTTATGCGCATAAAACGCTATGCTCTTCGCTTAATGTTTTGTTTTTGTCAACACACGATGATTACACTTAAATTGTTTTTCTTCACAATAACTCATATCTGAATCTTAACTTTATGTCTTACCTCATGTTACCGGACAGACACTTTTCTAGATATCTTTGAACCTTGATAAAACTAAGTCAATAATAGAGGCGAACTTTCTGATAACTGTACCCGTCTTGCTAAAACAATTTTGATGATCTGTACTTTCACTGAACGATAACTTGCGAGCCACTGTTAATGATTTTTAATGATTTTGTCTTATGTTCCATATTTTATTGTGCAGAATATGAAGCTATTGTGCCACAAGAGCATGAAAACATCAGTTAGATCTTTAAAAGTAATCAATACTGCACATGAATGGAGCTTCATCATGTTTTCACTGTGTATGGTAATACCAGCATGAAGTAGCTGGTGATACGAATCAGAAAGATAACAAAACAAGTAACCCTAAAAAACATGGCGGATAGCGTGCCCCGTAGGCGCCCCTTTTTAATATCCTTTATCGTCCATTTTGTTATCATATGGCGAATTCTCCGTTTTAATTGGCTCTGGATAGCGGGATACAGGTAGAAATGTTTGAATCTTGTTAATTTTATATGTCTCGGTCCAGATACGGGCGAAAATTAAAAACATTTTGAACGTACTAAAGAAGAAAAAAATATTAATGTTGGAGACTACTGTCACGTGCCTTTAGTGGCTATCATGAAATATTTTACACCATCTCGACTACACTACATGTACATGCTTCATATAGGCTTCATTAGTACTTCAAAGTTTATTGTCCGATATTGGTATTTTGACGCAGATATGAGTCTCAGGATTTATTATTAAAGTATCATCGACACTCTTCAACCACAAGAATGATATATTATGAAGTTCTTATACATCATTGAATCAAATACTGAATTCTGTTTGGCTGGTACACAGCAGGCAAACCTGCCAATGCGCTGGCCGAATATGATGAACACCTTGCAGCTGTCGAATGCAATAGTCAGTATTGTTATCACCAAGGTAAATTGACCTGTTTATTTCACAACAACATTTTTGACTATTTTACAAACCTTGTTACTTCAAGTAAAACAAGGATTTGATCCGTTTTTTAAAAAGGGTATAATATGCATTTGATATGGATATTTTGTACTCTGAAAATGAAAGCGAGTCTATATGAGGTGAGATATGCATATGATATTGATATGTTGGACTCTGAAATTGAAAATAAGGCTTAAGGGATACGGTATGTATTTGATATTGGTTCTGTAGTCATATTAGTATCGTTTATTAAGTCTTCAATTTTCTTAAAACTGTTAATTAAATAGTTGACTTAGTTTTGAATTAAATATTTCGTTATGTTCAGCAGACATAATACAGTAGCTTATAAAATACTTTTGAATGATAATATTGTCATTTACATGTATATATCGTGCTTTCTCGTTTTTCATGTTAGATTGTTGACATTTTCAAAGTAAGATAATAAATTTAATCTCGGATCAATATGTATGATACTTATCATTTTTGTAGTAATTAGTATGTTCACATGAAGTATTCAGTAATTGTTAATTTGTCATCATCTAGTCAACTTATTTTTACAAATATCTTAATTCCTAAATCGTTCCTTAAATGTTCATGGAGGCTGCAATCTCTTTAGGTATGTACCTATAGTAATATCCGTAATTTTGATTGAATCTGTGATACCTAAAAACACAAGAAAACAAAAGCATAATTCATGTCCATTTCTTTTTACATTACATCCATAAAACATAACAGATATATTGGTTCGTTAATTAGCTAAGCTCTGTTTTAAAACATATGCACTTGCTTTGTAAACTCTACGATATTAAAAAGATACAATCCAGATGTCAAACAAACTTGCTGTTTTAAATAAATCAATACTTTCATTTATCATTTTTTTTGACTTGCCAAAGTAATATAAATATTGTATTTCTAAACACCAATGAGTGAAATACGACAGTTTGACATGCGCAATGTTCTGAATGATAATGTTATACTGTGACAATTAAGATACTAGTAATGGAGGAAGTTTCTTTAATTATAATTTCTCTTTTTTTCTCATTTTCTTTTCATAAAATTTTTTTTTTATTTATTTTTTTTTGGGGGGGGGGGGCTTTTTTCTTTTTTTCATAATTTTTGTAATGTATTCAAAGAGCCGAAAACGAAAATACATCTCTCTTTACGCTTGGCGCTTGCTTATTGAACACGCCCTCATCCGTTTCGCAAACCGGAATATTATTGTAAAACTTTTTTTTTTAATACACAATAAATAAATATTTTTTGCCTTGTTCCTATTTGAATGACATTGTTTATGATTAACTTTCCGGCAAGGAATCAAACGGAAGTTTATAATTTTTATATCAAATATCATTATAAAAAAACTCGGAAATTTAGTACATCATTAATTCTTTAATCTTTTCAATTAAAGAATTGATTTAAGAATAAGAATGGATAATTTAACGACCATTTCAGTCACTGAATATTATAACAATATTACATTTTCAACAGGAACCGTCGATAATGACTTATTTTTCGATCGGCATCAGTTTATCAAAACAAAGCCATGGCTTGCCATTCCGTGTTTGGTCATATTGGTGATTGCAAGCATTGTTGGCACGTTTGGGAACATTTTGACGCTAGTAGTTATAGCATCGAAAACCAAGCAAAGGAAAGCCGAGTCAATTTTTATCGTCAATTTGGCGATTTCTGACCTATATGTTACGACACTAGCTGACCCAATGAGCATAGTGGGTAAGTTATTATTTATTCATATTCTTTTGATGTACCCGTGGATTTTTTTTAAAGATTTATAAATTGACAAACATACGTTTTTGTGTATATTCCAATTTAAATAAAACCTTTTTTTAAATGTTTAAGTAGTTCGGTTCCATAACGACAGTAACAGGAAAACTGCATAACTTTTATTTATCAAGCCTTCAAATTTGAAACTATATTTATTGATAACATTTCTAGTGGCAATGTTTCATACGATGAATTGAATTTAAATAAAGTCCCTTGTGATTTTGTTTATTTGATCCAGATATTATTGACCATATTTTATCATATAGAGGTATATCCTTGACATGTTCTATGTATAAGCTATATTGATAGATGGAGTTAGCGGTCAGAAGCCAAAATATTTGTGTTGATGAACAAAATGGAAAAGAACCACAACAGATCATATTTCATCTCTTTTTAACTTTACTGATACTAGAAAAGTACTTTCTTAACAGACTTTATCGGTTTCGTGAAGCATATCTTGTAATTAATCGTTCTAAGTTGTGGAAACGATTACAAGATAATGATCCTTGTGGCAAAATGTTTCGAGCTGTTATGTCTTTATATTCATCTTAAACATCATGTGTTATAATTATTTCTTTCACCACAGACTGGTTTGATGTGCACTCTGTCTTACGTCTAGGCTGTGTGTTATCACCTTTACTTTTTTTATCTGTGTATCAGTGATATTGCGTTGTATTTAAAGTCTCTTAATATTGGTGTAATAATAGATAATAAAGTATTTACACTTTGTATGCTGATGGTATTGTGCTACTTGCGGACACCGAGCGTGACTTACAAAGTTTATTAAATGGTCTACACAATTGGTGTGGTACAAATGACATGTCAATAAATAAAAGCAAGAGTAACATAGTTCATTTCCGCCCAGAATCTTGTACAAAAGCAGACTCTGTCTTTAGATGTGGACATTATACTTTAAGTTATGCTGATAAATACAAATATTTGGGAATCTTCTTGCATGGGCAAGCCGATTTTAATGTTATAGCTAGGCTAATGGCACAAAGTGCTTGTGGTGCGTTGGGTTTACTGACAGCCAAAAAATATGATGAACAAGATCGACAAGGAAAGTATAAGTTAGTAGACGGGGTTGGTCATAGCTTTTTATCAAATTGTATGATTCAATTGTATGACTCGGCATTGCATATGAGGCTTATTTGTGGGGACTTAATTCATATTCTTGAATAAATGCTGTCCACAATGGAGTTTATAGATTCTTGCTTGGGGTGGGAAACACATCCCCAATGAAGCAGTTTCTGACGATAAGGGTTTGGTTCCCTATTTGTTTCGGGAATGGAAATCAGTGGCCACTAATTGGGTTCGCCTTTCCAGAACAACTAGGTTTAATAAACGCATTGCACTATGGTCGTTGACTAAGGCAACCCGATGTAGAAATTGGTTTATCATTCCCAAAACAATGGAATGAATTTAATCTTGGTCCGTTTTGCAATTTGTCTTCGCTCATTGCTAACAATTCCTTTGTGCACAAGGTTGAATCTTTAACTATGGAGAGATTTAGAGCTGACTGGATCCGTTCGATTTATTGTACAGGGGTACATCAGGTAGGGGTTTAAATAAGTCGAAAACGTATGGGAACTTTTAAGCGGGAACATTCTTCAGTGAGTACTGTAAAATGCTCTTAACACTAAGCACAGGTCAGCATTCTGTAAAGTTATGTTTTCGGGTATTCGTATCTAAACGGGTAGGTACAAGAATCAGAGATTTTTTTGCATGCAAATAAACACTTACATATACAAATGAAAATGATGGAAATCATATTAAGGTAGTTTTACTGTAATGTTTCCCGCCAAAGAAATTCTAACATCGGCCAATATCGTAGCAAATCGGTTATTTTCGGAACGTTAATTTTTTCAAAATCTTGAGTATTGGAGCATTAAAAATCACTTTTTTATCGCTTTGTACTAAATTCCAGTTATAAACGGTTAAACATTATGTTATTGAATACCAAATATTGTGAAAATAACGTTCCGGAAATGACCGATTTTTTACGACATTGGCCGATGTTAGGTTTTGTTGTGTTTGTTTGACGGGAAAGCATTACAGCATGACTACCTTAAAACAATGTAGCAACATTAATAAATTCACTTCTAATGCTAGCATTAGATAAAATAAATCATGATCTGCAAACTTGTGGTATTCAATGTAGATATCTTGTCGGACCGCCTCACGTGTCTATTTTCTCTTCCTTGTTTATTTATCACATATCAAATAAACTTCCTGTTCAAATACTTGCGTAATAATATAGTAATACTGAAATAAATACTGCAAGTATTATACTGTTTTATATTCCGATAGGCCGAGTTATATATAGCATGTCACTGAACATGATAGGCAATTGTCTAGAACATAAGATTTGATTTAATCCTTTTGAATTACAAACAATTATGTGAAAAAAGATAATGCTCCTTGATAAGTTTCGGTTTCTTTTATTTTTTTTTCCTGTTTTGTTTTGTTCGTTAGTTTTGTTGTTGTTTTTTTGTTTGTTTTGTTTTGTGTTTTATTATTTCTTTTTCAAAACTAGGGCGAATCGCATTACGTTATTTATACCCCAAACACAAAATGTGTTTGTGTTAGGCGGCGATAATGGATTCGCTTTGTCGCGTCCGTCCTTCCGTCCGTCTCCATTATCGTGTCCGTTCTATAAATCCTATACCAATTAAAGGATTTTCTTCAAACTTGGATCAAATGTTCACCTCAACAAGGGGATGTGCAGAACCCATGTTGCCCATGTGTGAGCTCAAGGTCACAATTGAAGGTCAAATATCAAACAATTTAAAGGTCAAACTTGAAGGTCAAAAATATTGACTTAGAAAATATTCTTAAATTTTAACATGTATTTGAATATTTCTGAAACTAGCATAGGTATTTGCTTAAAACTTAAAAGATATATGAGATGTCACAAATAAGATATGCAGATCAAGTTAAATAACTTTGTATTGACAAAGTTATGCCCCTTGTTAAGTCTTTAAATTTACATACAATCAATACTAGACAATATGTCGTGTCCGCTCTATAAATTCTATACTAATGGAAGGATTTTCTTCAAACTAAACTCAAATGTTCTCCCCAACTGGGCAATGCGTAGAACCTATCTTACCTTTGTGCCAACTTAAGGTCACGGCTACACTTGAAGGTCAAAAATTGACTTAGAAAATGTTCTGAAATTTTAACATGTACTTGAATATTTCTAAAACTAGAACAGATAATCATTTGAAACTTTAAATATATACGAAGTGTTGCAAGTAAGATATGCAGGTCAAGTTTCATAACTAAAAACGTGGGAGGGAAAACTTTGTATTGTATTTTGACAAAGTTAAGTCCATTTTATGTCTTTAAATTTATTTACTATAATATTTCTTAAACCAGAACAGATATTAACTTGAAACTTAAAATTTATATGAATGGTTTACAAGCAAGCTTAGATGACGAAAATTCTACAATTCTATTGAATTATGACACAAGTTATGCCCATTTTAGGCTTAGAAAATGTTCAGATATAACCATTAATACTGAAATGTTTCTGAAACTAGAACAGATATTCACTTGAAACTATATAATATATGAAGGGTCACAAGTAAGCTCAGTTTTTCCACTCCTTATTACATTTTGACATAATTACGCTATTTTCTTAACTTCACTGATTTTGTTTGTTTTAGTACATTGGGAAAATGAAAGGTTATTTGTAACTGTTTCGAACATGATTTGACAATATATATTTATACTATTACCTGTACATTTTGTCTTTTTTCACCAGAGATAATTTCTTTTTATGTATATGTATTTGTGCCACTAAAGTTATTCCATTAACCACCTTTCCAAGTCGTCCTCTGTCAAGGACATTGATGGGGGTATGAATCGCATTCAGCGATAGTTCTAGTTCAACCTGTTTATCTCATCAACAAAATATTTTAATACACTGTACAATAAAAGACGACAAGGAAATTTTGTTCATTGTTTTTGGGGGCTTTTTTAATATAAATGTTTGGACATTTGTTGCCTAACAAATAAATATTAACTTCCGGTAGATGACAGATATGACGATTTTCTCTGCTGCGAAATTACGAATTAAGAGTCTCATCTATACAAACAATGCGTACATGTATCCATTGATAGAAAAGCCATTTTCTTTTCTTGTTATTTCTTTTGTTTAATGATTAATTGTACCTTAGCGACAGAAGGGTGCAGAAAAGAACAGCATAATTGAAAATCGGCAGCGAAAATAAACTGTGTGTTAATATATAGCGTTAGTGGTCTCCCTTACTTTAAATTTTAATTTTTATATCTTCATCTTGAATTCTTCATTCATTATGCCGTAAATGTCCTCAAAATTTATACATTAGGCAGTCACAGGAACAAGGAACAAAAGTTTTCTTCTTATAATGAGTAAAATGGTGGCCACCTTACCTGACCCAAGTGAGTCATGTTAGAGCGTTAAGATTTCACAATAGTTGTCATTTAAGCATTCAAAAAAATCTACTGATTTCTCTAAGACCTGACCTAAACTTGTGTTGAGCATCAGTAAGTCTGTTTTTCCAAGTATGTACCATCATACTTGAAATTTAAATTCGTTCTATTTCTGCCACCTTTTTTAATATCGTTACTTTTGTTTCACTGCAGATAAATGTTAGTCTCTTTTTTCACAATATTCTTTAAAAATTGTCAAGTTCGAATTCAGTTTTAGAACTCTAAATCTTGTGCGAAGATTTTCTCATTTGGGAAATGTTTTTTTTTTTTTTTTTTTGTTGTTGTTGTTGTTGTTGTTGTTGTTTTGTTTTTCTACAGGAGGGTCATATTTCTAGACATATGATGTATCAGTTAATAAAGTACTGAAAGCAATCTATAAGCTTAAACTATATAATATGTGACAAATGAGACATGTTTTAGAACGTTTTGATAAACTAATCATTCCAATTTTAAATTGCGGATGTGAAAGCTGGGGATTTGCCGAAGAACAGAAGCTTAGAAATATTCATCTTCATTTTTGTAAATAAGATTGCAGTCAGGTCTCCTTTTTGGTACACTGAATTGGGCATAATGACAAATATAAAATACATGTTTAACGTGAATAATTCAAACTCATAAAGACGGGTAATAGCAAATAGATTCTATGTTAAGAAAATCTATATTCTGATGCAAAATGACATTCAAAATAAACCAAACCAAAGTAATTGGGCAAAATAACATATTAACATTAGCTACAGAAAAAACAACACCTATCGTATTTCGTTGTCATGTTTTTGATTTCATTTTTTTTTCAGCAAAAGTCGAAGGCGAGAAATTCTTTGACAGTGTCCCGAAACTGTGTCAAGCAATTGCAAGCATGTGTACCATCTCCTGTGTGACGTCACTGATGACAATCGGCCTCATGAGTTTGAATCGTTACATCTACATATGTGTAAATGAACATTACGAACGCATATATACAAAACCAAAGTGCATATGTATGTGTATATCTGTCTACTTCGTCGGTTTCCTTTTGGTTTCGCTGAATGGCGCTAAAATCGGCGATCATGGCTACGACCGTAAAAGCATCGAGTGTATTTGGGACCGTATGGCGACATTTCCATACACCGTTGTGTTTTCAATAGCGCTCGTTTGGATTCCATCGGCTGTCATCGGTATCTGCTATTTAAAGATATTTCTCTACGTCAGATCGCATAAAAAGCGCATGCGCCCTCAGAAGAGTCTCTATGGAAAGAAGACGGCTCTTAAAAGTTTCCGTTTGGCAAAAACCCTCTTCTTCATTTACGCGGTTTTTGTCACCTGCTGGGCACCGTATGCGCTTCTGATCGTCCTAGACACAAATGACGACTTTCCCTACGAATCTCATCTGATAATTACTCTTTTTGCTCATCTCCACCCATCAGTTAACTGGATAATTTATTATTTCACAAACAAGAGGTTTGCGGCGTCGTATAGGGAGGTGCTCCTTCGATTTAAACTATGCATTCTATGTAAAGGCCAAGACATTTCCCTTGGTCAACAGGGTGGTAGACAGCGTGGAACTGATGGGTCTTCTTTTCCTACTTCTGATCGGGCGAAGGAAGGAATTAAATCTCAAAACACGGGGGATTCGGGTGTTGTTAGCGGTTTTCACACAACTAACTGTTGAATAAGATGAGATGATTCCTTTCAGTAAATACTGTACATAATATGAGCCGTGTCACGACAAAACCAACATAATGCGTTTGCAACCAGCATGGATCCAGACCAGCCTGCGCATCCGCGCAGTCTGATCAGGATCCATGCTGTTCGCTTACCAAACCTATTACAAGTAGAGACACTGATAGCGAACAGCATGGATCCTGATCAGACTGCGCGGATGCCCAGGCTGGTCTGGATCCATGCTGGTCGCAAACGCATTATGTTGGTTGTGTCGTGACGCGGCTCATATACTTTTATAGATTATTCTGTGTGCATTGTATCATGTCAAAGTGTTTCTTTGTATCTGTATTACATGCTAAGTAAATATAATGTTCAATGAATATGACAAATAATGTTAATACCAAGCTACAAGGTGTTACAATTTTGCAATTTTCTTGTGTCTATTTTTAAATTTGTGTACATGCCACGTGACTGTAACGTTATATTTTGGTAATACGGCAAGCAGGTAAATAAATTACTTCGATTGAAAATCTTTAAACTCACGTAATTCCTGTATTTCTTTATCAAATATGACGAAACTGAATGTTTTTGATAAATGAAAGATTTATTACGAAAACGGGAAATTAAAGTTTGTACGGTAAAAAAACACGAGTCAGCAATTTTCGCTTAATATGTGAATAACAATTTTTAAAATATAACACCACTTATTTAATGTGACACTGAAGAGGTGTTTTGAAAACCGAAAATGGTGCACTTGAAACATACAAGCGTCTTATTAGATATTTAATATCAAAGATAAATCAATATCCTTTGATGAGTATGAGTGGATACATTAAAGTGATCAATTTTGTAATTTTTCTTTTATATTTTATCATTTTATCATGCTGCTTCAATCAAAATAAAGGACAAAAACCTGGTTAAACTAAGGGAACGCGCCACTAAGCCTGATAAAACTAAAGGTATGCACCACTACTGGTTAAAGGGACGCAACCCTTAGTATGGTAAAATTAAAGAAACGCATCACAAAGCCTGGTAAAACTAAATGACACACCACTATGCCTGGTTAAACTAAAGTAACGCATCGCTTAAACTAGTAAAACTTAAGGAACGCACCACAAAACCTGGTTTAACTAAAGTTACGCACCAGAAAGACTGAATAAACTAAAGCAACGTACCACTAAACAAGATGTTTAAACAACACCAGCAAAAAGAATGTATTTAACAACACATAAGAAAACAGCATATGTTATTATAGAAAATTTTCAATGTAGTAGCATCTGCTTTCCTTATCTTGTCATTTTATGTAAATATACGACAGCCATTTTTGTGAGAAAAAAAATATTTTAATAAAAATATTTATATAAATATTTTTTTTACCATGGCAAACTTTTTTCGACTTATACAAAAAGTATGTTAAAAAGAAATTAACATTTTTTTTATGGGAAGGTTTGAGTAATTTATATGCCATTGAAAATTAAAGCAGCATGCCACAAAATGAGCAAAACTATTAAATGAAAACCAACCTTGAGAAAAATATACTAAGATTTTAAGAAAAGTAGAAAGATTCAAGTAAATTTTTTTTTTATTTACATGTTATGCGCGATTAATGAGTAATTTTGCAGTATTCATCACCATACTATTTCTAGTAATTAACGTGGACAGAAAGCGCACTTTGCGTAATGTTAATTACGTTTTTAGTTTACTTCATAATGTTTAAGTTTTTAGATACATTTCTAAATTTTCATGAAAATTAGCATGGGTTGGAGACATGCTGCTTTAAACATCAAAAGTTATACTAGTTATAAATTCCATAACTGATACAATAAAGTTAAGAAAGTATATATATTATTCATTATTGACTTATATTTTGACAAGAAGTTATCAAAATCATATGCTAAGAATAATATGCGTTTATTGTATTCTATGAAATAGAAAAGAATGGAAAAACAGTAATAACATAGACAATTGACTATTATAGTTCAATTATAGATAGGTAATTGTTTTACAATATTTACCGCCCTTTCCAAAAGTGGTGGCCATTTTGGGGGTCAATCTTAATTGCCAATATATGATAAAAACACCTGATTTAGATGAATTATCAAATTCTTTTATATATGAAGGAAAATATTATTGCAGCACCAATATGTAAAAGATATTTATCATTTTTTATAAAGATGTTAGAATTGGGACTTAAGATATGTTATGTCCCAGTTTAGGTTAATAGTATATTGGGAATGACCCTCAATAGGCCGACCAGAGGAGATTAAAATAAAAATTGCTATGTGAAAAGCATCTATGCACAAATTCTGCTAAAAATGTATTCTTATACCAAATATTTCCAAAGTATCATCATAACATAGTCTTTGATAAGTGTCAAACATCTCGTCTGAGGCAAATTTAAAATGAGCCTTCAAATTTTCGCGCGTCGCCATTTATATTATATGTCCGGCGCATGTCTATATATTTACACAACATGTCATTTACACTACTGGATAGCTCGCCATAGTTGTAATTCCACACCTGTTGCCATGGTTTCTGATCAATCTCATATAGCCTTTCTCTCCCCAATCTTCACCCCAGCTAAAATCAGATAGAAGCGCAGAATTCAACATATAACATAGTAAATCAAACAATCAACTTTAAACATAGAAAATCAAACAATCAACATATAAAATAGAAAATCAAACAATCAACATATAACATAGTAAATCAAACAATCAACATATAACAAAGTAAATCAAACAATCAACATATAACATAGTAAATCAAACAATCAACATATAACATAGTAAATCAAACAAGCAACATATAACATAGTAAATCAAACAAGCAACATATAACATAGTAAATCAAACAATCAACATATAACATAGTAAATCAAACAATCAACATATAACATAGAAAATCAAACAATCAACATATAACATAGTAAATCAAACAATCAACATATAACATAGTAAATCAAACAAGCAACATATAACATAGTAAATCAAACAATCAACATATAACATAGTAAATAAAAAAATCTGCATATAACATAGAAAATCAAACAGTCAAAATATAACATAGTAAATCAAACAATAAACATATAATATAAACTCCTCACAGTGGTTAACTCCCTTGGCAAATTGTACTGATAAGGGGAGATCACTGCGTAGAAGTTGTATTTAACTACGCGCACCGACAACGCTTCGGTCAATAAGGGCATACATGGAATTTTTATTCTTTGGAGCAAAAAGACAAGTTCGAGACTAAATACATAATTACAACCCATTAATTACAATTCAATTTTATCAGCAAAAACATACATGACAATAGAATATTAAAATTTACCTGTTCTTTAATATCCAAAAATCCATACCAGTATTTGACCTGCCATAGCCAATAGCCGTCATTGCATGGTTGACTTTCATTTCACTACACATGCTCAGATCTATTTTACTGACGCCGTCATATATTCCGTATCGGTAGTGTTTAGCCCCTCTTGTGTCAATACAGACTGACGCCGGTCCAAGGTTTGCCACAACGTTCTTTTTATGTTAAATGTAAAGCATATGTTTGTTTAATTTAATTTAAAGAAAGAAACCATATAAATAATGAAAATAATGAAAAAATAAACAAGCCCGTACTTGCAATATTATACGTACAAACATGATTGTGTGAAGTCTATTTAAATTTCTCAGGTGTCTTTTATTTGATATCAATACAAGATTATCAAGATTACATGATGACCTATCTGGTAGTAACAAAACTGTTTTTACTGATAAAAAATATACAATACACAAAACAAAACAAACAACATTATAAAAAACAGTATAAAATAAAGAAGCTATTTTGATAAAATAGCACCTATTTAGGAAAAAAATGTTCATAACTTTTTGAGTACAATACCGTATACGTTTTAAAGTTTCGGTTTTAGAACCATTAATGTTCTATAAAGTGTAACTTTGCGAAGAATTCAATATTTTGTTGTTAATGACGAAATTGGTTTACAGATGGTCCTCTGAGAGGGTAATACTGTACACGCCCGGCAAACTGTCGCTCCACTTCAAAATTGTGGTGTACGGTAAAACGAGCGAACGGCATTTCTGAGATAGAGCGGAATGTCGATTTAAACGCCTAATTGTAAGTATTGTTTATGTTTTTGTCTTGTTATTCATTTAAGTTGTATTTTTTCGAAAAACGGAAAATGTAGTTCCGTGTAGGATTGATTTAGGCTTCCAATGATCTAAGCTGTTACAAAAAGAAAATTATATTAAGCCCGGGAGAACTTTTCTCCCTGACGAAGCGAACGACGATTTGTAGAATATTGAACTTCCCAACCATAGAAATGCCATACCCTTCAGATTTTTTGAAAAGGTGTATTAGTAAATTATCAACCCGTAATAAGAACTTGTCCTTCGTGCAAAATAAATTACTCCTGAAGGATTTCTTAAATTTGTAAATCGATATTTTTTCGAAAGTAGTGGAGCGAAAGGGCAAGAGATGGAGCAAAAGGTTCGATGTTGGGCGCAAGGCGATATTATTTTGACGTATTAGGAGGAGCGTAGTCTATGATTTTTTATATATAAAAGCTATAGAAGTTAAAATAGACATGATCAAGTGTTAAGACCGAAATATATATACCTTTTAAAGACAACTAATAAAGTGTTATATTCTTTCAACGACTATAGCGTAATAAATATAAATATAATAAATATAATCGCGAAGGTGTCACCTATGGCTGCCGTGTAGATTCCATTATTTATGTTCGAAATTTGGATGAGGCCCGACCATTGAATCATACACATGTATGCATAATACAGGATGCCACTTTTCACACGGTTATGTACATTTAAAAACGTGTGTCCGTGCAAATTCGACAAAATCGAAAATTTTCAGTTCTACCGCGAACAAATGTTTCCGAACAGGTACGTGTAACGCGATTGTTCACGCCAAAATGTTATGTTTTTCGAAAAGTTAGATATTCAAGGTGCAGAACATAAACAAAATTATGCAATGCATGGAACACATTAAATTAAATGGATCACTACTACCGAGTTCAGTTCACAATGACTTCCTGTCATTAATAGCTCTAACGTACCTGTTCAGAGCAAACACAAATAAGCCACGTTTTCGTGAATTTCATTGTTGTTTAGTTTTTTATTTTCCTCTCAAAGTGTAAATAGAAATGTTTACTTTTATAATCAAACACTGCAGTACAAATCTTGGTTTAAGAAAAAAATAAGTTAAAATAAATATCTAAAATTTTGTTTGTTTATCTATGAACAAAACGAACGTAATAAAAAAAAGGCAGAGCTCAGTCGGTGTACGGACTAAAATTATCAATAATATAATAGACCTAGTTATCGTAGAAATTTCTATTTACACGTTGAGGGGAAATAAAAAACTAAACAACAATGCTAAATAAGGGAGGCAGTATCTAGAAACATAACTGAAACACGTGTTATATCCTTATAACGACTGACACCTTGTCAACCATTTTCATAGCGATTCCTCACCTTACAAATTCATGAAAACGTGGCTTATTTGTGTTTGCTCTGAACAGGTACGTTAGAGCTATTAATGACAGGAAGTCATTGTGAACTGAACTCGGTAGTAGTTATCCATTTAATTTAATGTGTTCCATGCATTGCATAATTTTGTTTATGTTCTGCACCTTGAATATCTAATTTTTCGAAAAACATAACATTTTGGCGTGAACAATCGCGTTACACTGACCTGCTCGGAAACATTTGTTCGCGGTAGAACTGAAAATATTCGATTTTGTCGAATTTGCACGGGCACACGTTTTTAAATGTAAATAACCGTGTGAAAAATCATGATTGATCTCGAATAAGTGGCATCCTGTATTATGCCATGCATACATGTGTATGATTCAATGGTCGGGCCTCATCCAAATTTCGAACATAAATAATGGAATCTACACGGCAGCCATAGGTGACACCTTCGCGATTATATTTATTATATTTATATTTATTACGCTATAGTCGTTGAAAGAATATCACACTTTATTAGTTGTCTTTAAAAGGTATATATATTTCGGTCTCAACACTTGATCACGTCTATTTTAACTTCTATAGCTTTTATATATAAAAAATCATAGACTACGCTCCTCCTAATACGTCAAATTAATGTCGCCTTGCGCTCAACATCGAACCTTTTGCTCCATCTCTTGCCCTTTCGCTCCACTACTTTCGAAAAAATATCGATTTACAAATTTAAGAAATCCTTCAGGAGTAATTTATTTTGCACGAAGGACAAGTTCTTATTACGGGTTGATAATTTACTAATACACTTTTTCAAGAAATCCGAAGGGTATGGCATTTCTATGGTTGAGAAGTTCAATATTCTACAAATCGTCGTTCGCTTCGTCAGGGAGAAAAGTTCTCCCGGGCTTAATATAATTTTCTTTTTGTAACAGCTTAGATCATTGGAAGCCTAAATCAATCCTACACGGAACTACATTTTCCGTTTTTCGAAAAAATACAACTTAAATGAATAACAAGACAAAAACATAAACAATACTTACAATTAGGCGTTTAAATCGACCTTCCGCTCTATCTCGGAAATGCCGTTCGCTCGTTTTACCGTACACCACAATTTTGAAGTGGAGCGACAGTTTGCCGGGCGTGTGTAATTGCTTACCTGTAGCCGCAGCTCGTTTTTGAATGGTATATCAATATAATCCTCCACAGTTGCACCAATATTTTCTTTACTGAACTTACACTTTCCAACCTTGAACATACAAATTTCTACAATATAACTATAGTTTTGCTTCTTGCTTGTTGTTTGTATTTATTTCGTGTTTTGTTTTTGTTTTTTCTGTTTTTGTTGTTGTTGTTTTTTTAAGCGCACTAACACAATTAACGTCATATGGCAGCGAAACAGAAAAAGATAACTTTGGCTAGCCTCGGATGTTGTAATTTTAAAACAGCACTAGGGATCAAAAGCACCCAAAGGTTTCAAACAAATATATAGTTCACAATAAGGTGTGAAAACAAAATAAAAAATTCTTAATGATACTGCATCAATGTGTTTATTTTTTCTGTCTGACACATGTCTTACAACAATCTGATTAAGGAACTCAACTGAGGTCCAATAGCCTATAAACATGAGATTTTAATTTCTAACATAAATCAACTGGGGAACTTACAACAGAAGATTCGCAAATGATAGTTAAGTAATATTCTCAAAAATAATGCAAAAAATCGTATTTGTGTGCTTTTTTAGACCGATTTGAATGAAAAGCGTTACAATGCTTTTAAATTTTGGGTTATTTTTCACAATTGAATATTTATTCTTGAAAAAACGAAGTGAGCGAATGTTCTAAAATTTTGCAAACAAGTTATTGGTCTAGAACTATATCAAATAGAACATTAATCTTTGAAAAATTATTTCCAGTCCCGTCATGTCTAAAAAAACCTCAGTGGAGTCCCTTTATAAATCACTCCAAATTAACGCTACATGCTAGAAATAATTTTAGTGGATGCGAACTTTAGCCACGTAGTATCTTACCTTTCCTGTGTATGGGTATGAAGATTCCGTATCAATACCACCATTGTCTATTACGTACTGATAGGAATTCTCCGCTTGACCACCAGTACATCCATCATTCACTAACAACAAATTCAATTCAATCTTTATTTAGCAATCGGCATAAATATGCCTTTGGCCATTTACAAGTAAATAATTATAGAATATGGCCAAGACAAAATAACATATAAATGTACAATAATAATTCAAATGCATATGATTAATCAAACACATAACATATAAACCTTACAATACAATGAAAATAAATTTACAATTAAGCACTGTTTGTCTGTAAAAATTCATTTAGCTCAATAGCCAATGTTCTTACTTTAAATGCCTCTTTAATATAAGTTGCTAATTTTACTTGAATAGTTTTATTATTATTATTCATTAATGCAACAAATTTATTAAGTGAAGGCCAAGATGTATAATATTTTTTAAGTAAATCTTTTCTGATATTATTATATTTTGGACAAATCAATAAAAAATGATATTCAGCAATATAACAAAAAACATAAAAACAACTTATATACATGTAACAACAAAATATAACTACAATATGAAAGGAAAGATAAGCAAGGAGGAGTGACATTCAATAGATGACCCCGACCCAGACACCCCCTCCGCCCCCTCCCCCAAAAAAGAAACGAAAACGAACGAATGATTGAATGAATTAATAAAAATACAGTAGTCTTACTGTAATGCTTTCCCGCCAAACAAATGTCTAACATCGGCCAATATCGTAATAAATCGGTCATTTCAAAGCCTTATTTTTTCACAAACTTCAAATTAAATATTTTTTTAAACCGTTTACAACCGGACATTAGTATATAGCGATGGCAAATAACTTAATGCCCAAGATTTTGAAAAAGTTCCGGAAAAAATCGATTTCCTACGTTATTGGCCGATGTTAGATTTTTTGGCGGGAAAGCATTAACCACCGTCAAAGCACCAAGCTGGACAATAACTAAGATAGAAAGGCAGAAGGACGAGACAAAAAGAGGTTTATTATTTTCAGTTACGATCTAAATTCACTTTTTTCCATTTATGTTTTATTAAATGAGAACATAACTGTTCCGATATATTTAATGTCCTTCCGTGCCTTATCTTATTATGTTGAATTTATATTTTTGTATTACCTATTAGCACAGGCGCTAGTCACATAATCAATTTTTTTACATAATCGGTCTATATATGTATATAAAGATATAAGGCCCCCAACGAAACAAAAACATCATGCAGAACAAACAAGAACACTGCTGCAATTAACGACCAGATCACGGTTATCTCTTTCTGGTCGCCATCTGAAAGGATCAATCCAAGTGCCAACGCTTTTTATTTCATTAAAATCCCTCAAATAGCAAAGAAATTGAGAAAAGTTTCGCAAAATGCCATTATTTTCAATTCATGTCGTCTTCGACGTCCAGTCCATTCATGTATACAAACACGATTTCTGATCGATTTTTACGAAAAAAACAAAAAACGGCTAGAATTTCCACGTACGTTCCATAAACAAACTCTTTTCCTATCGATCTGCGAAGTCTTCACTGATCAAATGCCCTCTTCGTACGTAATTCATTAAAAAATACACAAGGATCTCGCTTGTGACAGTATTTTATCGCCATGTATAGCGCATGTATATGCTGTTCCGCTCTGAATATTATATAAGGATTTGATTGGTTAAGATAATTACCGGAATACTATTGACCAATCGTATAATACTATTTCTTTGCTTCATTTATCTGTCACTTCCAATTACAAATGGCGCACTTTACTTGACCTCCGCTTCTACAACCAATATTTTTTAAATATTTGCGTACAAAGAGGGCTCTAGTTCAATTTAGACTTCGCAGATTGATAGAAAAAGAGTTTGTTCATGAATTTTATGAGGAAATTTTAGATGTTTTCTATTTATTTCGTAGAAATCGACCAGAAATCGTGTTTGTATACATGAATAGATTGGACGTCGAAAACGACATGGATTGAAAATATTGGCATTTTCTGAAACTTTTACTCATTTCTTTGCTATTTGAAAAATTTTAATGAAATAAAAAGCTTTATCGCTTGGATTGATCCTTTCAGATGGCGACCAGAAAGAGATAACCGTGATCTGGTCGTTTCTTTCAGCGTTGTTCTTGTTTGTTCCGCATGATGTTTTTGTTTCGTTGGGGGCCTTATATCTTTATATACATATATAGACCGATTATGTAAAAAATTTGATTATGTGACTAGCGCCTGTGCCTATTAGTAACTTTTAAAGCAACGATTAGGTAGTGAAATAATGTTAGACGCTCCAGTAATTTTCAAAAGGATTACCTACACACGTAGTTGTGATCGCCCTCTATATAATGGTCTCCAAATTCCAAAATGAACATTATTGCGAAGAAAACATAAATTCATATTCGGTTTTAGAGTAGCTTGTATATATTTTTCAATATCTAGATATCTACTTACAAAACATTGGGTTGCTTGTACAGTCTATTATGTTCTGTTCTGACAGAGACACAAGTTTTCCTTTCTTTCTGCAAGTTTGACCTTCTAACGCTCCTGTCGCCGCAAAAGCATAACAACTTCCACATAAGCCCTGCCAAAATTGTGTACATTACCCAGTTTATTAAGATCGTGTGGAGATTACATTTTATTCAAGAATAAACAAACAAAAAATGTTGATAAGTTACATTATCTTACAAATCTACTAAAGATTTACCTAAATGGCAGACCCTTGTTGCCCCAGACCACAATTGTTTTCACAATGAGATTTTTTTTTCTATATCAACACCAATCCCTGTAGCAATTTTAATAATCAAAGTCGCCTGTGCTTATAGTATCATCCAAGTTAGATAATTCCCGCTATAGCAAACTAGGGGCCATGTGGCAGTTGTGTACAGCAATTTAGTTCGATATACATCAGTATGACAGTCATCAGTAACCCGCCGGACCCATGTGAATTCTGTCATGTAAATAATCCACTCAAAAATACTTAGTCACAAACAAACTGGATCAAAGTTGGAATTTACAAGCTTTTTGAAATGAATTCTGTAAGAGAATGTCCTTTTTTATTTCTTTTTCATTCAATAATTCATTTATATCTGGCATTAAACACAGGCACTATTTTATGCGGATTTACTTCCTTATTGTGGACAACGAAAGTCAAATAATTGTGGAATTGTCAAAATAAGGCAAATAATTGTGTACTGAGGCAACTAAATAGGTTAAGTTACTGGAGTCTATGAATCTCTAAGCTCCAGCAGATAAGGTGCATTTGACACCTGGTGTGGCTTTAGGTTTGTAACACTGTTATAAAACCACAAACTTCTTTTCTTTTTTGGGAAACAAAAATCGAAATAAATACAGCCGTGTATACCTTTGTATATAGATTATAATAATATATACGTCACGCTTATTCAACAAAAAGTGACGTCACAAACGTGCAGTTAAATCAGAAATATTCGAAGAATAAAAATGCACACCACTGTAATGAAGGTTACCTGAAATTTTATTTTGGTCACACATCCTAATTTTCGCCAGTCCATTTCCTTTGGTGGCCTCGTCAAATTGAAGTTCTTTTTGCCGACAAACTTCTTTTGTGTTCGCTTTATCATTTCAGGTCTTATCTTCAATCCGGTATAACGCTCCTCGAATTCTTTGTCCGTCTGCAACATGTTTTGTTCAGATAACGGTTATTGCTAAGCATTACATATTAACGGACAAATTACGATGAATTTCTAGACATATAGTTTTACATTACCAGTAAATGCCTTTACATATATCTGATAAGTAACTAACAATGAGTCAAAGCAATGTCTTTATTAAATGGGAGCAAAAGGAGTATAAATCTGTAAAAAGAATTTGACACACACATATACATACGTACACTACATCTACTACCAACCGAACGTTGAATCAAGGGTATATTATTAAAAAAATAATATCAATAGACTGATAAGGGAATTCTTGGTCATAAAACTAACGTATTTGAGGTCAACCCTGGACTCTTATAGCTATAAGTATATGCATAATAACATTATGCGTCATGCCCGAGTGCTCAAAAAATGCCCTTTCAGAAGTCACTTTGTAAGCAGCCAAAAATAGCTTAAATTGGTAAAGCAATTTTTAAGATAGAAATTAGATCAGTTCAAACAACGTTTGACGAACCAGATCGGCGAAATTATTTATTCCCATCCAGTAGGTAGATTCTCCTTTGTCGGCCGCCATGTTGTGTAACTGTATCGTCTGAAGATTGTCGGCAAATACGGAATACCTTTAAAACACACAAGCATAATGTATATCGTTAATAAATGTTCAATGCTGCATGAAATTTTACCATGCTATTCTAGACTGGCCAAGAACCGACAACTTAAGCATAAACATCTTTTAACGTGTCATTCATTACATTGATTTTTTAGGATAAAAGTGCATGCCTGATAAATTTAGCTTGATAAGTCATCCTCAGTTTTATCAGACACCTCATAAATACATATTGAAATATAAAAAAAAGAGAGAGAAAGGAATATTTTTACCTCTTACTAGTTTGAAAATGTTAAACTGATAAACTTTGAATCGAATACATTTTTTTGATATTAAATTTGAATTAAACATTTGGGACTATTTCTTAAAGATATTACACTTGGTATATTACTGCTTTTTATAGTGAACACGAGGCCTGGAAATTACTTTTTTTATTTCGTATTACCGGTATGCTTCATCTCTAGGACATGTGTAAGTTCTGTTGAATTTTAGCTTGAAAAGCTGCCATTCTTCGTTGACATGCTTCAGTGACAATGGTTCCACCACGAATGGGAAAACAAACAAAATCAAACATTTTAGACACCTCCTGAAGAAAAGACAATGTATATAATTATGGTCGCATTTCTTTACTTCAATATATATCCTTCCTGAACAATAAAGCTAATGTTGTTGTTTTTTTTTCTTTTAAGAAAAATATTTCATATATTGTTTACACCGTAGGAGCGCTATACACTGGTTTCGAGCCTACAAAAACATGGCGGATAGCGTGCCCTGCAGGCGCCCCTTTTTAATTGGTTATCATATGGGGAATTCTCCGTTTTGATTGGCTTAGGACAGAATCTTGTTAATTGTATGTCTCCGTCTAGATACGACGGAAAACAACATTTTGCACGTACTAAAGAAGAAAAAAATATTATTGTCGGAGACTAATGTCACGTGCCTTTAGTGACTATCATCAAATATTTAACACCATCTCGAGTACACTACATGTACATGCTCCAAAGTTAATACATAATTTCTTTAATTAAAGGCCCACTTTGCCTCAGATATGCTATCATTTTTATTTCTTCAGAAAACAACAACAAAAAGTGTCACGTATTTTGGCATCTTGTTGCAGTTTCCAAATAATACTCAATTGTCATAGAGTGTCTACCTTTGCTTCTTTTAATATGTTGACAGTCGGTATAATGAATGAGTAGTTTGTATGAAAGTCAAAATACCATTTTGTTTACAATAATTTTGGCTTTCTTTACGACACATATAAACTGCACATTCAGTGCTATACTTTCTTCGCTGTTTAACACACATTACATGCTCTCAATCAATTATTAAAATATTATTTAAAAGATGTTCGACATTTGCAAAGAATTGATTTTTTTTAATATGGATTTTTGAGGCATAATGTGCCTTTAAATCAAATTAAAATGAATGATAAATTACATAAAATAACACAGATTTCCAAACGAAATTACACAAAACGCATGGCAGATACTCACATGTTAACAGTTTCAATCCAAGTTTCATCAATGGTTGAAAACTGTTGATCAATTCAAATGTATCTAGATGTTATCAATTTCAAGTGTTGTTTGCAGCAACGACAGTAGAATAGGATGTAATATAAATCGTAAGTTGTTGAATTTCTATATCCTACCTTTTATCGGTCTAGCCATAAGATCCGGCTTTTCAATTATAATGAATGAGTGAATTATGACTGTCACGAATTACATTATATGATAAAACTTTGTCACATCGACATTATCCGTGTTTGTATGTATAAAATAGTGTTACCAAATTAACTATAAACATCTCTAAAACTCTGGTGTCTGCTATTTGAACTGCAAAGGTGTTTCATATACAATATGTCCCAAGACCAAAACTGAGACAATTTCCGTTTCAAAGAAAATGTCCAAACTTATGACTCTTTTTTTAAGGGACTCCACTGTTTCTATTTCATAGAAAGTCTTAAAAACAGGGTCCGAGGTTTTAACGAATTTCGAATTTCTCTAAACTGAAACCCAGAACCTCAGGTAAATAATTAGTCGGACACTAATACCAACCAATAAAAATCCTGATATTTAAGATGGAACCTCAAGGTCAGCTATAACTTATGACTCCTAACGGTCTGTACATGAACATTTTCTCCTTAAGTTGGTCGCAAGTCCTAGGATTTAGGACTCTCCATGAAACGCAGCCCATGATGTTCATTATTTAAATCATACGCCTCTTTTCACAATATATGTATTTTGGAGACGGGTTATTAAAGACGGGTCAACACTAATCTTAAATGATTGAAAACTAGTAAACACTAATCTTAAATTATTGAAGATCGGTTAATACGAATCTATAATGATTGAAGACGGTTTAACACAAATCTTAAATGATTGAAGACGGGTCAACACGAATCTTAAATGATTAAAGACGGGTTATCACAAATCTTTGGGTTAACACGAATCTTAAATGATTGAAAACGGGTTAACACGAATCTTAGATCATTGAAAACGAGTTAACACAAATCTTAAATGAATGAAAATGGGTTAACATGAATCTTGAATGACTCTGAAGACGGGTGAACACGAATCTTAAATGGGCTAACACGAATCTTAATTGATTGAAGATGGGTTAAAAGGAATCTTGAATGAATGAAGACTTGTGAACATGAATCTTAAATGATTGAAAGCAGGTTAACACGAATCTTAAATGATTGAAGACAGGTTAACACAAATCTTAAATGATACTTTAATTATCCACTTTACTTTTATTGCAAATTAAGAAAAATATATCTGATTGGGAAGGACCGAACACTTAAACGACCAGGATATAAAATATCTATAAGATACTGATAATCAGTGATTATTTACAAGTGTTTGAAGTTCTCCTGAACGTACTTAGACCAGATATAATGTTTACATCTGGTTTTCAAGTACACACAAGTAGCCAGTGATTTGTGACTGAACAATTATCACGAACACATATTGAAGTCAGTTCACATGGTGCAGCATTTTTGTAGCTGTAAATTTTGATTTCTTATGTGAAATCAACATAATTTTAACGCATGGTAACCCAGGAAACGAGTTGGTTTCGTTTGCTATTTGCAACTATTGTTTTGTCAATAACATCCATATTTATATGTTTACTATGCATTTTGATATTATTACCAGTTGATCTGATTTACACATTTTTGGATGGGAATTCTTGACAAATTTTCAATATCCTCAGTTTGTAATACATATATGTGAAATCTGATTGGTCGAGAATCATATGGTTTTTGCACAACACCTCGTTTTTGCACGTGCAAGCACAACAGTTCCTAGGTGCCAGAAGTAAAGCACTAATCAGTGCTAAGCGATGTTTTTGACCAAGAAATTAAATTACACATAAGAATAATTTCAGCTGTTTATTTTTTACTTGTTTTCAAACAATACAGACATTTCTTCTATAGTACTTGACAGCATTCTGTAAACCTGAAAAGTAGATACAAAAGTTCCACTTACAGATGCAACAAAAATAGACTGGAACTATCACTGAAAGTATATTTCTATATCACCCACAGCTTTTATTTCTAAATAAATCATATTATTAATACAAAGTTAAAAATAATTTATATAGGTCCTTTTAGTCTAGGTCATTCAAAGGTCAAGGTCAGATTTGATTTTTTCTTTGGTGGAACTTGGATTGTTAATAAATGTTGTTTTGTCCCAGTATCAATACTATTGTCAGGTGGAGCTTTTGGGTGTGTCTATTATAATAAAATGACATGAACCTTCAAGGCCTATTCATAATTTCTTTTAATTTTTTTATTTTTATTTATTTATTTTTTGTTATTGATGGACTTATTTTATTAATACTGGGACTCTTAAGACAAAGCGGTCATCTTTAGTTATGAATTTTGTCTGAAAGTTAAAAAATCTAACTGTTTAAAACAAAGTTATGAATGATGTCAGCAAAATTCATTATAAATTTGACCTTGAAGGTCAAGGTCATATTTTTATTGTTTATTGAAGTATTGTTGTTTGGTCAAAACATTAATCAAGTCCACCTGCTAATAACAAAGTAGTTAAAAGGCAAATTTCAACTAAATTCAATAATTTGTCCTTGAATGTTGTTGTTTTAAGGTCAGGGTCATACCTAACTTATTCAACATAACAATATTATACTGCCTCTATTGCACACACTTGATCAATCAGAATCTGCAAATCTGATAACAATATTGCAGTCACTCATTATTTTTACCCATTTCTTTAATGAAAAGTATGGTTCATTCCGTAATGACATTTATTTTCTAAGACTATAAAGTATTGGCAATGGCAATGAAAAAGCTAAACTATAGTTTTAAAGATAGATTCTTCAAGAGGAAGTTTAATAAAAAGAAAGCATATCTATATCCTGTCTGAATTTCAATTCTAATTCTAATCTATGTGTGAAAAAATTCAGATTCATAACTTAAAGAAGCACGCCTCCAGATTCATATTTATTTTCATGAAAATTTTGAAACTGTATTAAAAAGTAAAATATTGTGAAGTGAACAACTAAGAAAATAATTTTTACATTGCAAACAGTATAAACAACCCACGTAAATTATCAAAAAGAGGTCAAAATATGCAAAAATAGACCTTATTGTGTTAGTCACACAGTAGAAATTTTGGGAAAAATACTGCAAAATTAGTCAAAACTCACTCATAACATAGAAATTATTACTTTTGTCTTGTATCTTTTTACTTTTCTTAAAATCTCAGCACTTTTTACACAAGTTTTATTTTCTTGAAATATTTTAGCTTATCTTGAGGCATGCAGCTTTAAAGGAACTGTACTGCTAATGGTCTTTTGAAATGAAGGAACCAAAAATATATGTCACGATTTTTGTATAACTGGATGTAGGTGAAGACGAATAACTTGTGTACTAAACTTCAGGTCAATCGCTCACACCCTTTCCCAGAAATACAATCAACTTTATTGTGCAAATTGACCCCAAAAATGAGAAACTTTTCACTGAAATTGGCCAAAAAATTGCTAAAATTCTATATCATTAATTTAGTACGGTGTTTATTAATATATTATCTATTCCATAATATACCACATGATTTTTAAAAGAAAGAATTTTTTTAAGTTTTATTATTTTAGGCTATTGGACCTCAGTGGAGTCCCTTTAACATACTTGTAAAGTTAAAAAGCTACAATAATATACCTCTAAGTACACTTTTTCATCATACTTCGCAAGCATTGGGTTGAACTGTTCAGTATTTTCTGCCCTAAACTTATGAGCTGCTGAAAATTCAATAACATCCTTAGGCACAGCTTTTTGAGCTGTGGGAGAAGGGGATACATGATCTGGTGTTAGTCCTTTCTTGCCCACCTTTGAAGCTTTTGATGTTGCCTTAAAAAAATGTAAAAAAAAAAGAGTTTAAAAAAAACACATACAAAACTCTATTATGAATGTAATGTTCATTTGATAGCAAATAGTACCATATTTAACAATCAAAGCAGTAACAATTGCCTTTTATTTCTTGTTCTTTTTTTGTTTTACAATATCTAAGTCATATATCATTGGACAGATATCATCGATGTATTTATATCATATATCATTAGGCAGTTATCATCAATGTTTTTATGTCATATATCATTGGGCAGTTATCATCAATGTATTTATGTCATATATCATTAGGCAGTTATCATCAAAGTATCTATGTCATATATCATAATTCATTAAGCAGTTATCATCAATGTATCTATGTCATATATCATTGGGCAGTTATCATCAATGTATTTATATCATATATCATTGGACAGTTATCATCAATGTATTCATGTCATATATCATTGGGCAGTTATCATCAATGAATTTATGTCATATATCATTGGACAGTTATCATCAATTTATCTATGTCATATATCATTAGGCAGTTATCATCAATGTATTTATGTCATATATCATTGGGCAGTTATCATCAATGTATTTATATCATATATCATTGGACATTTATCATCAATGTATTTATGTCATATCTCTGAAGGTAGGTATCTAAAATGTATTTATGTCATATAACATTAGGAAGTTATCATCAATGTAATTATGTCATCAATGTAATTATGTCATATATCATTAGGCAGTTATCATCAATGTATTTATGTCATATATCATTAGGCAGTTATTATCAATGTATTTATGTCATATATCATTAGGCAGTTAGCACCAATGTATTTATGTCATATATCATTGAACAGTTATCATCACTGTATCTATGTCATATATCATTGGGCAGTTATAATCAATGTATTTGTGTCATATATCAATAGGCAGATATCTAAATGTATTTAAGTCACATATTAGTGGGCAGGTATGTAAAATGTATTTAAGTCATATATCAGTGGGCAGGTATGTAAAATGTATTTAAGTCACATATTAGTGGGCAGGTATGAAAAATGTATTTAAGTCATATATTAGTGGGCACGTATGTAAAATGTATTTAAGTCATATATCAGTGGATAGGTATGTAAAATGTATTTTTGGGCAGCTATCATCAATGTATTTATGTCATATATCATTGGGCAGTTATCATCAATGTATTTAAACTATATATCAGTGGACAGGTATGTATAATGTATTCAAATTACAATGTATATATCAGTGGACACTCACAGGTAGATCTATGTAAAATGTATTCAAGTCATATATCAGTGGACATGTACGTAAAATGTTTTTAAGTCATATATCGATGTCATTACTAATCATTATGCAAGTACTCTTACCCTTCTTTTTGACTTAGAATTCCCTTTTTCTTTCTTCTCCACAGCTTGTTCATTCTCTATTATTTCTTTTTTAGGAGCAAGCCCAAGGCTGTCTGCCAGGTCCTGGGCATAACTGACAATTTTATCAATACCAGTCTGTAACAAGGTGTACCTAAAAAAGAACCAGTCTGTAACAAGGTGTACCTAAAATAGAACCAGTCTGTAACAAGGTGTACCTAAAATAGCACAAGTCTGTAACAAGGTGTACCTAAAATAGAACAAGTCTGTAACAAGGTGTACCTAAAATAGCACAAGTCTGTAACAAGGTGTACCTAAAATAGAACCAGTCTGTAACAAGGTGTGCCTAAAAAAAGAACCAGTCTGTAACAAGGTGTACCTAAAAAGAACCAGTCTGTAACAAGGTGTACCTAAAATAGAACCAGCCTGTAACAAGGTGTACCTAAAAAGAACCAGTCTGTAACAAGGTGTACCTAAAATAGAACCAGTCTGTAACAAGGTGTACCTAAAATAGAACCAGCCTGTAACAAGGTGTACCTAAAATAGAACCAGCCTGTAACAAGGTGTACCTAAAATAGAACCAGTCAGTAACAAGGTGTACCTAAAATAGAACAAGTCTGTAAGAAGGTAAACCTAAAATAGAACCAGTCTGTAACAAGGTGTACCTAAAATAGAACCAGTCTGTAACAAGGTGTACCTAAAATAGAACCAGCCTGTAACAAGGTGTACCTAAAATAGAACCAGCCTGTAACAAGGTGTACCTAAAATAGAACCAGCCTGTAACAAGGTGTACCTAAAATAGAACCAGTCTGTAACAAGGTGTACCTAAAATAGAACCAGTCTGTAACAAGGTGTACCTAAAATAGAACAAGTCTGTTAGAAGGTATACCTAAAATAGAACAAGTCTGTAACAAGGTGTACCTAAAATAAAACCAGTCTGTAACAAGGTGTTCCTAAAATAGAACCAGCCTGTAACAAGGTGTACCTAAAGTAGAACAAGTCTGTAACAAGGTTTAACCTAAAATATAACCAGTCTGTAACAATGTGTTCCTAAAATAGAACAAGTCTGTTAGAAGGTGTACCTAAAATAGAACAAGTCTGTAACAAGGTGTTCCTAAAATAGAACAAGTCTGTAACAAGGTGTACCTAAAATAGAACAAGTCTGTAACAAGGTGTACCTAAAATAGAACAAGTCTGTAACAAGGTGTACCTAAAATAGAACCAGCCTGTAACAAGGTGTACCTAAAATAGAACAAGTCTGTTACAAGGTGTAACCTAAAAAGAACCAGTCTACCAGGTAAAAATGTTTACTACAACTTCCAAATTCTGATAAAAATACTAGTAAATCTAAGATTTCAAGACTACTTTTTCCAGGTAACAGAACACTTTTGACTACTCTCACTAGTCTAGCATGCAAAATATTTACTGCACATTTAATATAACAATTTTGTATATAAAACATTTACTGTATCTTGACTATAACAAATCTGTATTGCAAATATATCTTTGTCCTCAAGTTCAATGTTGTTGGTTTGTTTTTTAGCTGGTAATACTAAAATGTTTACTCCAACTTTTACTATCTCAATAAAATAAAACACTTCTGTAGCTTTGTATTAATATAACATTCTGTATTATCCATTAATAACGTTAACCTGCTATTGTGTATGCTGTATAAATCAAATATCTTATTTTTGACAGTACAATTTGAAAGACTTCACCTTAAATTTTGTGCATTGGCTAAATTTAGAAGAAAGTAGTCCAGCAAGACACCAGTGAAAATACAGACAATATGATTCACTGCAATGAAAAATGTATTTTTACAGTGAAAATATGGAAAATGAAAATTCACATTTTATTTCATCAATATTTCTTGATATTTCATTTACATTCCTCAATATTTCATCTATATTTATCATTATTTTCAATATTTCTTGATATTTCATTTACATTCCTCAATCTATATTTATATCTATATTTCTCAATATTTCATCTAAATTTCATCTATATTTATCAATATTTCTCAATATTTCATCTATATTTATATCTATATTTCTCAATATTTCATCTATATTTATATCTATATTTCTCAATATTTCATCTAAATTTCATCTATATTTATCAATATTTCTCAATATTTCATCTATATTTATATCTATATTTCTCAATATTTCATCTATATTTATCAATATTTCATCTATAACTATCAATATATCATTTACATTAATCAATGTTTCTAAATATTTCATCTATATTTTTATCAATGTTTCTCAATATTTCATCTATATTTATCAATGTTTCTCAATATTTCATCTATCTTTTTATCAATATTCTTCAATATTTCATCTATATTTATCAATACTTCATCTATATTTTTCTCTATATTTTGTCAATATTTCATCTATATTTCTCAATATTTCATCTATATTTATCTATATTTCCCGATATTTCACTTATAAGTATATATAAGAAGAAAATATTTTCTTACATCTTAATGTATTTTGAATGAAAACTTGTCTCTAGCATCAGCACAGGTTGGAAGGACATGGTGTAGAAATCCTTGTACAGGTGCCATAGCAATGTCTGTTTACGTGTCAAATTAATGTAACTTTCATTTTTGCTATCATCACTAACATTATCATCATCATCATGATCATCATTATCATCATCATGATCATCATTATCATCAGCAGCATTGTCATTATCATCATCATTATCATCATCATCTGGTAAGGCTAAGAAAGCCTGAAAATTACAAAAAAAAACTTAATAATATTATGTGTCAAAATGGCAGATTTACATACTTAATAAATGCATTTTTTTTATAAAGGCAAGTGTTTTTTTTTTTTTTTGTTTTTTTTTTAATATTTGTAAGTTAGTCATACAGTAATAGCATTATAACTAATATGTTTCACAACCTACTGTCTGAGAAAACTAGAGTTAGTGTTTAGATACAGTGTCACTTTATGACCTTGACCTCATGACCTAAAAATCAAAACAGATCATCAACTAGCCATGGGCAATTCTCAAGTTTTGCAAATTTAGGCTTATAATTATAAAATCTCAAGTTTTTGTTACACAAATTTGTACACAGAATTACAATGACCTTGACCTTTGAAATAATATAATGACCTCAAAATCAATACTAAACATCCACTGGCCATGGGCAATGTCTCTACCAAGTTGACAAAACTAAGGTTCATCCCTTCTCAAGTTTTTTTATCAGACAAAGATTTTACATAGTGTCACTGTGACCTTGACCTATTGACCTCAAAAACAATAGAGATCATCAGAAAGCATTAGGTTATTTCCCTACAAACAGAAGCTTATTCTTTCTGAAGTTATTGATAGGGCAAAATAATAAGAATTGCTTTTTAATATTTACTCAATTTCCAAAAGTTCTTGCTAATCTTAATCTATATTCGGAAGTGCAATGATTACCCTTGCTCACTAGCCTGTGATTCATTACTATAGTAATTGTAATAATTCTAATAGAGCTTTTACATTGCACAAACACAGAATAGGTCACATGGTTGGCTGCTGGAGGAAGACCTCAGGTGCCCTAACGAGGATTATTTCAGGTACATACAGGCACCTGAGTGGAACCACCGATGGTCTGTAAGCTAGCTGGATACATGTAGCTTCCTGACATGAAAGAATCCAAAGTCACTGGTGCAATTCCAAAACACAGCAGAAAATGGCAAGTAGTTTTAACAGTGTTTAAGTTTGAAGTGACCACAGGGGCTAATTTTAACCCCAAGCAAATAGGGGCAAATAGTTTTAAGTTTGAAGTGAGCGTAAGGTCTAATTTTAACCTCGAGTTACTGACAGTCAACTGTATGTGGTTTCAGAAAGGTTGTTGTTCAAAAATAAAATTGTAGACGACAAAAACCTAAAAAATCGCCATCACAAAGGTTAATCTCTGATAATATTGTGCTTATGTGAGCTTGAAACAAGTCACTATCCTCGTTACATTTTACAAAATCAACTTTACTTGTCAGAGACCTGTATGAAACCTGAAAAACATAATTATGCATGCCCTTAATAAAGGGTATAAAGCTATATCTTATTAAAAAAATTTTTTTAATTTATCAACAGTAAAATTATAAGTCGTAAGGTTAACTTTTAGCAAGAAACTTTACACTCATTGTTCAGTACTGGTTGGTTGCAGTAACGGATTCAGAAGTATGTCTATAAGTTTATAGCTTCCTACACAATGGAACTAAAAATAAATTCAGTATAAACTAAACCTTAAAGCCTCACCTGCTGTTTTAAGTAGGGTTTTATCCACTTAGCAATGATTTTATGCACGTGCAAGTCATTGGTTCCAGGAACAGATTCAAATCACAATCTAACTAAAATTATACATGCCATAATGTCCCAGACATCTGGGACTGTCCCGGACATCTGGAACTGTCCCGGACATCTGGGACTGTCCCGGAAATAAGGTGTCAGTCCCAAACTAAAAATAAATTCAGTATAAACCAAAATTTAAAGCCTCACCTGCCACAGATCTAACACAGAGACTATAATGTCACCATTCTCTAACTTTTCCAGGTCATTCAGTGAAATGTACGTCTCACACAGTAACTGTAACCTTCTAACAATGTGCCCGTAGTAATACAACTGCAAAACAAAATGAGTTCTTTACAAAAATAAAGAAAAAAACACAATAGTACTACACAAAGTGTTGGAAGCATGTAACTTTTTAAAAATTTTCAATTAGTGTTTTAGTTGATTTGGATGATACTTCATCCTTCAAATTAAGAACAAACTTCACCCCTAAAGACTGCAAAAAAATTGGCTTGGCTGAATTGTCTGCATAGTGAACTGTCTAAACTGCTGTTTCTTTGTTGTTGTTTTATTTCCCTAAAATACATGTATGTGTTTTGTATATTTTTATTTGCGTATTGTGTTTGTTTTGTATATTTACCCCAGGATTTCTCTTCATAAATATAACTTCCATAGACTCTTCTACAGGTTGATATGCCGTTGTGACCTCAGCTTTAAGAATGGCATAATCGATAATAGACTGAACTTGAGGCAAGCATATATTCTGTGCCTCTTTCATCTTCATATAATCCTGAAAAAAATAAAGTAATACATTGTGAACCAGTAAAGCCCAAAATTACAAGGCAGTCTGAAAGACAGCTAAATCCCCTTCCGCAGCGGATATGAATGTGTACTTCTTGACCTTTAACCAACATGACTTTGATGTTGTGCCATGCAGTCTCATGATAGTAATTATTTGTGCCAAGATATTTAAAATCTTCCATCAAGTCAAAAAGTTATGGAGAACATTTAGCCTTGACATTGGGGGTAGCAACCTGGATATTGGGTTCTGATAATCGTGTCATAATGGTGATCATTTCTGCAGAGTTTTCTTAAAAACATTGCAGCAGTGTAAATGTTATGGAGTAGACTGGAAATATAGACTTTTTAACACCTGACCTTTAAGTGTGACCTTGACCCAATTATTGCGCTCTGCAGATCATCTCATAATGGTGATCACTTGTGCCAAGTTATTTCAAAAAAATTCAGCGGCACCGAACATAGACTTTATAACAGTTGACCGTAAGTGTGATTATGAACTCGGGAGTAGCAACCAAATTATTTGTTCTACACATTGGTTCATAATGGTCATCACTTCTGCACAGTTATTAAAAAAATATTTCAGTGGCTTAAAAGTTATTGAGTGGACACGAAAGTGTTACAGATGGAAAGATGGAGGGACTGACAGATGGAGGCCATTCCTATAATTCCCTTCCCACTTTGGGGAAGGGGTTAAATTTTTCAAATATTTGAATTGTCAATAAATTATAATGAGGACATGAAAAATAAATGTTTTAATATTGAACCTTAAGTATGACCTTGACCTTGGAGGTAGTAATCCAATTATTGGGCTCTGCACATCTTCTTATAATGGTGATCACTGTGCCAGATATTTCAAAAAAAATTCAGTGTTTCAAAAGTTTTGGATCGGACACAAAATGTAGACTTTTAACACTTGACCTTTAAGTGTGACCTTGACCTTTGGGGTAGCAACCCAATTATTGTGCTCTAAACATCATCTCATAATGGTGATCACTTGTGCCATGTTATTTCAAAAAAATTTCCGAGGTTTGAAAGTTATGGAGTGGAACCAAAAATGTTACGGACAGACGGAGGCCATTCCTATAATCCCCTCTCTGCTATGCCGAAGGGGATTAATAAAGAGTGAAAATATGGTGTGACAGTTGATGACCTAGTAATACACTTTATCACTCTATGATGTTCAATTTAAACCAACCTGAAACTTTTCACAAATAATTCATTGCTGTTTGTATATAAACAAAATACATTCTACTTGTAATGTTTTAATTACAAACCTTGATTTCCTGAATCTGTTTGCTGTAGTCTGACTCACATCTGGTGATGGCTTTAAATGTAAACTTGACTTTAGCTCCACCTTCTAGCTGGGGCTGGGTGCACAGTAGCCAGGATTCGGTGAAATAGCCAGCAATTGTACTTCTAAACAACATCGGTACATAAACTGTCTCTCTTGGCATCACCACACCTTTTAGGCAAATAAAATCTGAATTTGTAATAATTTAGTTTACATTCTGGCATAGACAGTGGTTTGTTTTTTTTATGGGTTGAAAACGAAACAAAAATAAATGTTAAACATTGTATAATAGCGGAATTTCTATCAAATGCCAATGATATGGTATTTTATAACCTTTATTTTTCTTCTTTAAGTCACTTTGCACAAACTTATATTAAGTTCTAATGTATGTAAAAAGCAATATTGTTACATGTATGAGTTGTTTGTTATCTTTGTTTTTTGTTTTGTTTTTATAATCTACCATGTTTCGGGTGGTAACAGTTCAGTGGGTTGGTAACAGTTCAGTGGGGTGGTAACAGTTCAGTGGGGTGGTAACAGTTCAGTGGGGTGGTAACAGTTCAGTGGGGGTGGTAACAGTTCAGTGGGGTGGTAACAGTTCAGTGGGGTGGTAACAATTCAGCGGGGTGGTAACAGTTCAGAGTGGGGTGGTAACAGTTCAGTGGGGTGGTAACAGTTCAGTGGGGTGGTAACAGTTCAGTGGGGTGGTAACAGTTCAGTGGGGTGGCAACAGTTCAGTGGGGTGGTAACAGTTCAGTGGGGTGGTAACAATACAGTGGGGTGGTAACAGTTCAGTGGGGTGGTAACAGTTCAGTGGGGTGGTAACAGTTCAGTGGGGTGGTAACAATACAGTGGGGTGGTAACAATTCAGTGGGGTGGTAACAGTTCAGTGGGGTGGTAACAGTTCAGTGGGGTGGTAACAGTTCAGTGGGGTGGCAACAGTTCAGTGGGGTGGTAACAGTACAGTGGGGTGGTAACAGTACAGTGGGGTGGTAACAGTTCAGTGGGGTGGTAACAGTTCAGTGGGGTGGTAACAGTTCAGTGGGTGTGGAAACAGTTCAGTGGAAATAAACTAACAAGCAAGATCAAAGCAATATGTCATCATATGTTAGCATTAAGAAAGGGAGACAATTACATTAAACAAATCCATAACTAGTGAACAAATTCATTTTATAAATATGTCTATTTTAAACTCTTTGCATTTGGCATTGGCCAATCATAAAACATCATTTACATCATATGATCTCATTCAACCAATCAAGTAAAAGCTTCAGTCTTGCTGGAAAAAGCACGCTTTATCTGCTCAGTTTTTATTTTATCACCATTTCCAATATCTCTTCGCTCAATTTGATTTTTTTTTATTTCTGTTGTTGATATTTTCTGTTCATGTTAATATCTACAATAGTTTCGTTAGGTAATATTCTCAACCTCGTTGCTGTTCACTAGGGAATATTATACAATCATATATGTAATTATTATGTTGTGCGATATTTTTCACCAAGATATAGGAAAACACTTTTATATGTATATTGCTGTTATGTTGTTTTCGACAAAAAGAATTGCCCATTTTCAGTCAACAAATGAAGAAAAAAAAAGAAGTTACAAATAAGAGAAAATATGAGCCGTGTCATGACAAAACCAACATAATGGGTTTGCGACCAGCATGGATCCAGACCAGCCTGCGCAGTCTGATCAGGATCCATGCTGTTCACTATCAGTTTCTCTACTTGTAATAGAGTTGGTAAGCGAACAGCATGGATCCTGATCAGACTGCGCGGATGCGCAGGCTGGTCTGGATCCATGCTGGTCGCACACGCACTATGTTGGTTTTGTCGTGACACGGCTCATATGTAAAGTATTTTACCTTCGTCATCCAGGAAATAAAAGAATCGTCTGTGAGGTCTTGGGACTGGAAGTGACTTACTTTCAGCTACTTTCTATTAGTGAGACAGTAATGTAGACAAAAGAGAAATGATCAGGCAAAAGATTAGAAAAAAACACACAAGTTGAGAAAATAGTGAAAAGTAAAGATAAAAAGACCTGTCCACAGACAGTGCGCTCCACTTTTCTCAGTTTTGGGTAGTAAAATAAAAGCAACATAGAAAAGGGGGCATTACTATGCAAACATGCTTATCAAACTTACCTGCCCTTAGTATGATAGTAAAAAAATATTTTAAGTTTGAAATGAAGACCTTCAGTGGTTTTAAGGGAAAGGCAAATATTCATATAAGTCAAACAAGGGAAAATTAATAAAGCAAAGAGGGCTTTCAGGATTATCTCCCCCTACAAATGCATTTCAAATTTGATAAGTGAACAAATACTTGAAGTTTAAAGTGAATATCTTTGATACTTTGAATTCTAGGATTACATGCCCTTCTGAAATGATCTGAACAATTTTGTAAATCAAATCTGAAGTGAATTACTTTGACTATTAAAAGAAAAAGGAACTTAACAAAAAGGTTAACAAGGTTTAAAAAGGGGCTTAACTTGCAAAAATTAATTTTAGGATTGTCTACCCTTTTGAGATGATGTCCTTTCATGGTACCAAGTTTGAAGTGAATAGCTTTTTATATTTTCTAAGAAAATTAACATTAACAGAAGGTTTACTGACACATGACAATTTTAATCTTCGAAAAGTGGAGCTAATAAAGAAAGTGAAGAAAAACTGAGAGAGAAAGAGGTGGTAGAAATTGGAATAATGGGTGTATTGGAATATTGGAATAAATGATGTAATGGAATATTGGAATAAAGGATGTTTTGAAATATTGGATTAAAGGATGTATTGAAATATTGGAATAAAGGATGTAATGGAATATTGGAATAAAGAATGTATTAGAATATTGGAATAAAGGATGTAATGGAATATTGGAATAATGGATGTATTGGAATATTTGAATAAAGGATGTAATGGAATATTGGAATAAAGAATGTATTGGAGTATTGGAAAAAGGATGTAATGTGATATTGGAATAATGGATGTATTGGAATATTTGAATAAAAGATGTAATGGAATAGTGGAATAAAGAATGTATTGGAATATTGGAATAAAGGATGTATTGAACTATTTGAATTAAGGATGTAATGGAATATTGGAATAAAGAATGTATTGGAATTAGGGGAATAAAGGATGTAATGGAATATTGGAATAAAGGATGTATTGGAATATTGGAATAAGGATGTATTGGAATATTGGAATAAAAGATGTATTGGAATTAGGGGAATAAAGGATGTATTAGAATATTGGAATAAAGGGTGTATTGGAATATTGGAATAATGGATGTATTGGAATATTGGAATAAAGGATGTCTTAGAATATTGGAATAAAGAATGTATTAGAATATTGGAATTAAGGATGAAATGGAATATTGGAATAAAGGATGTTCTGGAATAAGGGGAATAAAGGATGTAATGGAATAAAGGATGTATTTGAATAAAGGGGGTATGGGAATATTAGAATAACGGATGTATAGAAATATTTTAATAAAGGATGTATTGTAATATTGGAATAATGGATGTATTGGAATATTTGAATAAAGGATGTAACGGAATAGTGGAATAAAGAATGAATTGGAATTAGGGGAATAACGGATGTAATGGAATATTGGAATAAAGGATGTAATGGAATATTGGAATAAAGAATGTATTGGAATATTTGAATAAAGAATGTAATGGGATATTGGAATAAAGGATGTTCTGGAATAAGGGAATAAAGGATGTAATGGAATATTGGAATAAAGGATGTATTGGAATATTGGAATAAAGGATGTATTGAAATATTTGAATTAAGGATGTAATGGAATATTGGAATAAAGAATGTATTAGAATATTGGAATAAAGAATGTAATGGGATATTGGAATAAAGGATGTTCTGGAATAAGGGAATAAAGGATGTAATGGAATATTGGAATAAAGGATGTATTTGAATAAAGGGTGTATTGGAATATTTGAATAAAGGATGTAATGGAATATTGGAATAATGGATGTATTGGAATATTTGAATAAAAGATGTAATGGAATAGTGGAATAAAGGATGTATTGGAATTAGGGGAATAAAGGATGTAATGGAATAGTGGAATAAAGAATGTATTGGAATTAGGGGAATAAAGGATGTAATGGAATAGTGGAATAAAGAATGTATTGGAATTAGGGGGAATAAAGGATGTAATGGAATATTGGAATAAAAGATGTAATGGAATAGTGGAATAAAGGACGTAATGGAATATTGGAATAAAGGATGTATTGGAATTAGGGGAATAAAAGATGTAATGGAATAGTGGAATAAAGAATGTATTGGAATTAGGGGAATAAAGGATCTAATGGACTATTTGAATAAAAGATGTAATGGAATAGTGGAATAAAGGATGTATTGGAATAAGGGGAATAAAGGATGTAATGGAATAGTGGAATAAAGAATGTATTGGAATTAGGGGAATGAAAGATGTAATGGAATAGTGGAATAAAGAATGTATTGGAATTAGGGGAATAAAGGATGTAATGGAATATTGGAATAAAGGATGTATTGGAATAGGAGGAATAAAAGATGTAATGGAATAGTGGAATAAAGAATGTATTGGAATTAGGGGAATAAAAGATGTAATGGAATAGTGGAATAAAGAATGTATTGGAATTAGGGGAATAAAGGATGTAATGGAATATTTGAATAAAAGATGTAATGGAATAGTGGAATAAAGGATGTATTGGAATTAGGGGAATAAAGGATGTAATGGAATAGTGGAATAAAGAATGTATTGGAATTAGGGGAATAAAAGATGTAATGGAATAGTGGAATAAAGAATGTATTGGAATTAGGGGAATAAAGGATGTAATGGAATATTGGAATAAAGGATGTATTGGAATTAGGGGAATAAAGGATGTAATGGAATAGTGGAATAAAGGATGTATTGGAATTAGGGGAATAAAAGATGTAATGGAATAGTGGAATAAAGAATGTATTGGAATTAGGGGAATAAAAGATGTAATGGAATAGTGGAATAAAGAATGTATTGGAATTAGGGGAATAAAGGATGTAATGGAATATTTGAATAAAAGATGTAATGGAATAGTGGAATAAAGGATGTATTGGAAATTAGGGGAATAAAGGATGTAATGGAATAGTGGAATAAAGAATGTATTGGAAATAGGGGAATAAAAGATGTAATGGAATAGTGGAATAAAGAATGTATTGGAATTAGGGGAATAAAGGATGTAATGGAATAGTGGAATAACGGATGTATTGGAATAAGGATGTATGAGGAGTTAACCCAAACCAAATGGGAAATAAGGTGAAAAAAAAATTTTTCTACCCTAGTCAACAAATTAAACCTTTTCAAAAAACTCAATTCTTTTCCATCCAAAAAAATTCCTTAAAACACAAAATGGACCCGACAAATTTTTTAGGGTTTTTGCATATGCCTTTTCATCAAAACCAGCCTTTTTTCCTTTGAAATTTCAACAATCACTTCCTTTAAAGAACCCCTGTTTCCCCTGACCAAACCAAATTTTCGTCGTAATCCTTTTAAAATCGCCCTTTAATTTTAAAAAATAAGGCTGGAAACCCTCTATCCCCCTCTCTGGTTTAAAAAACAAAACTTTTAAACGCATTACATAATTGATGTTTTTTGCTAATATCAATATGACATAATTATTTGACGAATTTCAATATAGAGTATGTCGATGTAAGGTTTGGTTTAAAGCTATTCACTATTTAGTAGAGAAGATGTGCAAGGGGCCAGATAGCTCAGTTGGTAGAGCCACGGAACAATATTCTGAGTGTCCCGTATTCGAGTCCCGGTCAGGCTTCATATCTTTCTCACCCTGTGACAAACATACAATTACAAATAAATTAGGACGCGCAAGGGCACCATAGGCTAAAGTATGTAAAGCATGATCAGCTCTTTTGTTTTATTTTGACTAATGTCAGGTATAAAAATTGTTTACATCAATTTGCTTGAATTTGAAGCGGTGTTATTTCAAAAGATGTTTTTTGATTGAACATTCTAAATATATTATATAGTTTAACATGTACAGTAATGGTGGTGGGGTAGTTCTTGCTACCAACAATCAGATTTTTAGATGTTATCTATCAGAACCTCAGTTTATATTGTGATTTCAGAGGTATAATAGGATGCCAGTGTATACCGTAAGTCTATCTAAAATAAAAATGCCTTAAGATCCTATAAACACAACAAATTACAAAAAAACACAACACCCTCACTTTTCCAATCCAACGAATCTAAAATCCATAACTGGTCTGTTCTTATTCATCCTCGAAATTTGTTCGGACATAACAACGTCACCATATGTAGACTTTCGTCTCTTTGAACGATCATAGGGCTGCGACTCATGCCCGCGGCAAACCTCGTCATCCACTTCGGCTGATATCCCTTTGAATTTCATCATTTCGCGTGTTTCCCTTACACTTTTTGACATTCTTCTTGTTCCAAAGAACTTGCTGAAAAATGCACCAATTTTTCCTTCTTCACTCTCATCTGTACATCCACCACTCACGTCAATGCGGTTTTCCATGAAGAGCCGTGCACCTCTTGATTGCGCTAAGTTATCACCAATAGCTTCTTCCGAAGATTTGACTGGTTCACCTTGCAGGAATAACTTGTCAAATAACTGTTAAAATCAATTCAAAATACATTATGAATTTTACATATCTACCACCAAATGTCACATTTTACACACTAAATTTAATGGAAGAACCTCTGCCACTACCTATGAAACTAGAAATGTGTCCATAAGACACAGATGCCCCCACACGCTACTGTTCTGTCAATCTTATGACTCTAGATCAAATATTTTTTGGACTACATGTGCCACAAGTTGAAAACTAAAAATCAACAAAGGGCCATAATTCTGTTAAATTTGGTTGCAGCAAAAATTCCTTCCTTTACTACCATCTACACATTAAGGTTATTAATCCCTGGAAGTTTAAGCAAAATCTGCCATCCGGTTTAAGAGGAGTTGCGTTCACAAAATTTCTACATAGTATATAATGAAAAAATCAATAAAGGGCCTAATTCTGTTAAATTTGGTTGCAGCAAAAATTCCTTCCTTTACTGCCATCTACACATTAAGGTTGTTCATCCCTGGAAGTTTAAGCAAAATCTGCCATCCGGTTTAAGAGGAGTTGCATTCACAAAATTTCTACATAGTATATAGTGAAAAAATCAACAAAGGGCCATAATTCTGTAAAATTTGGTCTCAGCAAAAATTCCTTCCTTAACTACCATCTACACCTTAAGGTTGTTCATCCCTGTAAGTTTAAGCAAAATCTGCCATCCGGTTTAAGAGGGGTTGCGTTCACAAAATTTCTACATAGTATATAGTGAAAAAATCAACAAAGGGCCATAATTCTGTTAAATTTGGTCGCAGCAAAAATTCCTTCTTTTTCTACCATCTTCACATTAAGGTTGTTCATCCCTGTAAGTTTAAGCAAAATCTACCATTCGGTTTAAGAGGAGTTGCGTTCACAAAATTTCTACATAGTATCTAGTGAAAAAATCAACAAAGGGCCATAATTCTGTTAAATTTGGTCGCAGCGAAAATTCCTTCCTTTACTACCATCTACACATTAAGGTTGTTCATCCCTGTAAGTTTAAGCAAAATCTGCCATCCGGTTTAAGAGGAGTTGCGTTCACAAGATTTCAGAACATACGTACGGACGGACGGACAAGTGCAACGCTATATGCTCCCACATTGTGGGGGCATAAAAAGCATTGGCTCAAGATAATAAATGTTGGTTTAAAGTCTGAAAGTGGCTTATTTTTAACTATGTTCCTGGTTCAAACAAAATTACAATTATTTATTTAACCCATTGCTTCATGAGCATTTTGTGAAAAATGGCTGTTTTCATTGAAAAGTCTCCCGTTACAAGTTCAAATTGCTATAATACTATAAAAACTGCTTCAACACTAATCAAACTTGGCACAAATGTTGACTGGACCATTGTCCTTGCAACAACATGCTCAGACTTAAATTTTCTGTTACCATGGCAACGAGGGACATCTCAAAATTGCCAAAAATCACTATTTTGCGTTGATTTTTTCCATCAAAATTGATTTCAAAGTGCTGCAACTTATCAATGGATTGAGATAGAGTCAAATGCTTTTCAGCGTTGGTTACACGTTACCTTATGATCAATCTGGGTCATTTACAGCCTCTCACAAGTCCAAAATTTTCTTGGCGATGAGGGGGACTCCGCCCCCCTTCAAACCCCCCAAAACAGAAGGGGGCACATCCCCTTCTGGCAAAACCCTGATGTATCTTTTGGTTGGGGGGCCGCGCCGAAAAAGAGGTCAATTTTTTTAACAACATTTCTCAAACAAAAACAAGTGTTTTGGGGCCTAAATAAGGCATTTTTTCATCATTTGAGACAACAAAAAAGGGGGGGGTGAAAAAGGCGTTAAAAGGCGTGTATATGAAGTAATGGGTTAACTGAAAATGATGAAAATACTTGAAATTACCCTAAATCGCGTTTTTTCATGTTTAAACATGGCCTGTCATATAAATTTGAAGAAAAATTGTTGTTTTGTAGATTTTTTTATTTTTTTCATTAACCCATTGCTTCATGAGCATTTTGTGAAAATGGCTGTTTTCATTGAAAAGTCTCCCGTTACAAGTTCAAATTGCTATAATACTACTATAAAAACTGCTTCAACACTAATCAAACTTGGCACAAATGTTGACTGGACCATTGTCCTTGCAACAACATGCTCAGACTTAAATTTTCTGTTACCATGGCAACGAGGGGACATCTCAAAATTGCCAAAAATCACTATTTTGCGTTGATTTTTTCCATCAAAATTGATTTCAAAGTGCTGCAACTTATCAATGGATTGGAGATAGAGTCAAATGCTTTTCAGCGTTGGTTACACGTTACCTTATGATCAATCTGGGGTCATTTACAGCCTCTCACAAGTCCAAAATTTTCTTGGCGATGAGGGGGACTCCGCCCCCCTTCAAACCCCCCAAAACAGAAGGGGGCACATCCCCCTTCTGGCAAACCCCTGATGTATCTTTTGGTTGGGGGGCCGCGCCGAAAAAGAGGTCAATTTTTTTAACAACATTTCTCAAACAAAAACAAGTGTTTGGGGCCTAAATAAGGCATTTTTTCATCATTTGAGACAACAAAAAAGGGGGGGGTGAAAAAGGCGTTAAAAGGCGTGTATATGAAGTAATGGGTTAAAACAATATCTTATATTTTGTTTAAATGAAATAAGGTAATCTGACAAACATAATTTAAGCTCAGTTATCAAGCCTGACTTGTTTTGTATGAATTAAACCAGTCTAAAGTTATTTGTTTAAAGGGATACTCAGGCAAATAAATGACAAAAATATCAAAATGATTTAATGTCCTTAAATCACGCTAAAATGACATTTTCTAAAGTCCCATCATGGATTTCTGTATAAATTCTATATATTTTGCGTCTGAAGCATAAATATATCTAGATTTATTGAACAAAATTTAGACGCCGACAAAATCACCGAGTAGTTTTAAAAGAAGCCATATGACTTGAACAAACCCGGGAAGTTACAATAACAGATATCGTGAATATTGTATGATTGAAACGAGTCAAAATCATTCATTTGACATGTTCTTTTACGTGTCCAGGGTTCACTGTGACAACTATTGTGTAATCAAGTTGGTCAAGTTAGGAAACCAGCATTTTGTTCTTTATAAGTTGTAAAGTTTTGTTCCTATGACTGCCTAGTGTATTTATTTTGATGGCATTTACAGAGTAATGAATGAAAAACTCAAAATGAAGAAATGAAAAATTTGCCTGTGTCTCCCTTTAAAGTCGGTTATTTTATTTTTTCAATTTGTTTAAAGGAACTGCACTAAAACCCAAAAGCCTAAACGCTTAAAATTTGATTTTTTTTTACATAAACCAGCTGGGACACTTAAACAGACAAAGAATTGCGAAAATGTACTCCGAAATAAATTGAAATTTGTATTTAAGAGCTATTCTTAGCCCAATTTAAGTGAGAAGAGTTGCAACGCTTTTCAATTCTTTTTTCAAATAGAATAATTATCCTGGATTAATGGAGTGAGCGATTGACCCAAAATTTTGAGTATACAAGTAATTTGTCTAGACTAAAATTAAATGGAACATTAATATGGAAAAATTATTTCCTGTCCTGTCATGTCAAAAAAAAAAAATCAGTGGAGTATGTTTAAACAAATCAGAAAAGTCATCACACAGGTCGTGTACATGTAGTCTAAGCTAATCTGAAAACTTATTTAAATGTTGGAAACTTACCACTTTGTTAGTTATCTGAATTTTGCCTTTCACAGATTCTATTTTCTTCGTAACAGAGTCACCGCTAAATCTCGTACATAAATCTGCCTTATGAACCTTACCTAAAAAACACACACAATTCTTTAACTTTATGTTGTTATTTTCATTTTTGCTAAACTACACAACAATGTCATCAAGAAATGAATACCAGTGCATGCAGCACTTTGATAAGAACATTAATGACAATTATGTCAGGAAAACAATTCTTTGGCACAAGTATATATGAGCCGTGTCATGACAAAACCAACATAATGCGCATCCACACAGTCTGGTCAGGATCCATGCTGTTCAGTATCAGTTTCTCTACTTGTTATAGAGTATGTAAGCGAACAGCATGGATCCTGATCAGACTGCGCGGATGCGCAAGCTGGTCTGGATCCATGCTGGTCGCAAACGCACTATGTTGGCAGGGCTTTTTTTCCTTCTATAACAGGGGCCGATATCAGGCCCCTTCACAATTCATAATTGCACTTTTTACACAAAGTGGCGAAAAAAAATTCACAATTTCAAAAGAAATTTCACAAAATATTGGGAATTTGTCTTTTTTGAAATACATTGTTTACCTTCCAGTTAAACATGATTTACGCCAATTTCAAGAACACAGAAAGAGTTTTAATCAAGTTAAATGGTTTAAGCACATGTTAAGCAGGTTAAAGTACCGACTTGAAGCAGATTTTCTGCTTTCATAATGTCGCTAAATGCCAAATAATATGTAATTTTTTTTTCCACAATTTTATGACAAATAGCGCTTTTTTCACAAAATGAACAGGTCTAGGCCCCTTCACAATTTTTACAAAAAATGTCCTGGTTGGTTTTGTCATGACGCGGCTCATATAGTGTTAAAGTTTAAATCCCACACAGAGTTAAACATAAATGTCTGCCTAAAGCAGTATTCATACTCGCTGTATGGAAAGGAACATATCTGTATAAAAACTATTTGACCAATACAACCTTGCAAAATAATATACATTGATGCAGTATTTCCCTACATACAGTATTTCCCTTCTTGCAGTACTTCCCTATTTGCAGTATTATCCTTCTTGCAGAACTTCCCTATTTGCAGTATTATCCTTCTTGCAGAACTTCCCTATTTGCAGTATTATCCTTCTTGCAGAACTTCCCTATTTGCAGTATTATCCTTCTTGCAGAACTTCCCTATTTGCAGTATTATCCTTCTTGCAGAATTTCCCTATTTGCAGTATTATCCTTCTTGCAGAATTTCCCTATTTGCAGTATTATCCTTCTTGCAGTATTTCCCTATTTGCAGTATTATCCTTCTTGCAGAATTTTCCTTCTGGTGGTATTTCCCATCGTCGGATACCCACAATTGATAAACATGTCACATAACATGCTGATAAATTTTAATGGTTCGGCCGTGGGTATCCGACGATGGGTATTTCCTTACTTGTAGAATTTTCCTACTTGCAGTATTTCCCTCCTTGCAGAATTTTACCTACTTGCAGTATTTTCCTACTTGCAAAATTTCCCTACTTGCAATATTTCCCTTCTTGCAGAATTTTCTTACTTGCAAAATTTCCCTACTTGCAGTATTTCCCTACTTGCAAAATTTCCTTACTTGCAGTATTTCCCTCCTTACAGAATTTTACCTACTTGCAGTATTTCCCTATTGCAGTATTTACATATTGCAGTATTCCCTATTTGAAGTATTTTTCTACATACAGTATGTCCATATTGCAGTATTTCCTAACTTGCAGTATTTCCCGTCTTGCAGAATTTTCTTACTTAATGCCAAATTTAACTACTTGGGGTATTTCCTTATTGCAGTATTTCCCTAATTGCAGTATTTCCCTAAGTGCAGTATTTCCCTACAATATTTCACTACTTGCAGTAGTACCCTACTTGCAGTATTTCCCTACTTGCAGTAGTACCCTACTTGCAGTATTTGTATACTTATAAGGACAAGATATGTATATATATCGAGTGTAGCGTATTTACATAACTACCCAGAATAAATGACATAATTATTTGTACAAAGTTTACTTTTTTCTTGCAGTATTGTATCGGCATCTCCACTTAGTACAGGTGTTGGTAACTCTCCCCTATCTGACTTTGATAAAGTTTCACTGAAAAAAATAAAAATGAAATACAATTATTACAATGCTTTTCGATGGTTTATAGAAATATATCAGTGAAATATAAAACTGATATTCTCACTGTTTGAAACAGTGAAAATATCAATTTGATATTTTCACTGTTTTGAATTTAAGCCCGTTACGTTGTTTCAGTGAAATACCAGCATGCACAATACTGGAAACCAACTTAATGATGTGAAGTCGTAAATGACGTCACATATTATTATTTGGCATGCTTTTTATTAAGAATTAGATAAAAATGTCTTTTTCAAATGTTTCTTCACATATAATAAAAAGAAAATTTGTTTAGTTTAGTGCAAGATCGAAATATACTTCACCTCGTGAACACCAAAAGTTCATATTACACTCATGGCTGCACCAGTCATGAAATATAGCTTTTGGTGCTCGCTTGGTGAAATAAATTCCGATCTTACTAAACAAATACCCTCCAAATTATACCATGAATCCTTTGTGTAGTTGGTAAATTTTTAATGTTACAGTACAAACTCTGCAGAGCAATATGAGATAAAGATTTTGCTGAAAGGTATTGCTCCATGTAGAGAGTGGTTAAACATGAAAATGCCAACAATATGCACAACTAGACTTGTTTCTGATCATTCCTATAGGAGTAATAAGTCTGGACAAATTTTTGATGGACAGACAAATGGACAAAAGGGCGACAGGGAAGTCACTGATCTCTATACAGTACAGATAACGAGGAATATGCAAATTCATGCAAGTAACGAGTAATTACAAAAAGCTTGACTCCAAGTGGATTATAAATTTCTCGTACACAAAAGAGTGACTCCACGAATGACAATTAAGTCCGCGGGACTCCGTGAATCTCTGAGCCAAAAAGAGTGACTCCCAGTAATGGTATGCTATATTTATTTATAATTATTACACATGAACTATTTATGTAAATTTCAATGTTACAGTTCAATCTTTATATAGTAACACCCTTTGGGGAAAATAGAGTTAAATCCTTTACTTAGAAAAATGTCACCCTGTTGTTGTAAAGAGGTTTCTCGTCTACAGGGGGCAACTCTTTTTTTTTTAACAATGTTTTGTCAATTCTTGGCAGTCAACCAACCTGAGCTAGCTTTCCAGGTTAAGTGACCAGTAGTAACTGATTTCACTGCATGTGATCAACTTATAGTCCAACAAAAATCACACATCATTTCTTAATAAGATCAATTGCCATGGAGTGATTTGGCATCACCAATTACACGTCTCGACACTAACTTTTTCAGCAGGTGGTATGCCGGACCACTGGATCCAAAATTCAGGTGGTCCTTTCTGAACACAGGTGGTCCATCCTTTTTTTTACTCATTTGTTTTTAAGGAAACTTCAGATTTAGAAGAACTACACTTAAAATTGGTGACAGAGACATATTTATTATTAGATTTATAACAACTGAAGAAAGCATGTATGTTTTCTATTTCAATCTTAGATCACATAGTAAGTCATTGTAATCCTATTTATTATCTCATTGAAAAATACATGACAGTACTCATACTTCAGTTAAGTGACTTCTTCCGCAACTCAAGTTAGGGAATAGTGAAACCATTTGTGAATGACTTATTTCCTTACTGTTATTCAAATACTCATTGCTGTTGGTACATCTTATAAGAATAATAATTGCTTTTTATAGATTAACATTTTTAATTAAACTATAAAGTTATTATATTATTGTCTTTGAAACAATGAAATATTAATGATAAACAGAAAAATTCCTACATTATTATTGAGCTTATCTTCCTCACAGATTTATTATACATGCTTGTTTGTTGAAATTTATTTATTTTTGACAAAGTACAGTATTTATAACCTTTTAAAGTACTTTAAATAAGAAAAAAATGGATCTCTGATTGTTTAAAATTACTAAATATTTAATTTTTCCTTTGCCTTTGTTTGCACCATTATTCATGTGTTTATCCGATATCCCAAAGTGATACAATGTTATAAATTCAATGCAGTACTAGAGACATTTGAATGAATTTTATACTTTAATTATTAAAATAATTTTCTACTTTTTTTAACTACACTGTTAGCGAGTTAATAAAAAGTTATGGATGTCTTAAGATCTTTTTGAACTAATGAGATGAATATACCTGTACATCGGAGAAATGGTTTTCAACAACAATTATAGAACATGTTTTTCGACCAAATAACCATTTTCCCAGATGAGCCCTGCACCATTTGGAAAATTCAAGTGATCTAACGGACCAGTTGCCTGTAAAATTAGGTGGTCCTTGCCAAAATCAGGTGGTCTTGGACCAATAGACCACCGCTAATGTTGAGGCCTGCCCTTTAGGATAAACAAGATAACCCTTGATTATAAATCCTATGCTCTCCCTATTGAGCTAAGCAAGTAAACCGTTTTGAAGCTCTATAACTCACTGCAATAAAGTTTCAAGAAGTTTCCAGTGTAATATAGTTTCAAGAACATTAAAACTGAGAACTTACTGAAGATGTCCGGCTGCACAAAAAAAACTTAAACTGTCTGAAGTTGTCCGGCTGTAATTAAAACTGAGAACTTACTGAAGATGTCTGGTTGTAATTAAAACTGAGAATTTACTGAAGTTGTCCGGCTGGAATTAAAACTGAGAACTTACTGAAAATGTCTGGCTGTAATTAAAACTGAGAACTTACTGAAGATGTCTGGTTGTAATTAAAACTGAGAATTTACTAAAGTTGTCCGGCTGGAATTAAAACTGAGAACTTACTGAAGATGTCCGGCTGTAATTAAAACTGAGAACTTACTGAAGATGTCCGGTTGTAATTAAAACTGAGAATTTACTGAAGATGTCTGGCTGTAATTAAAACTGAGAACTTACTGAAGATGTCCGGCTGTAATTAAAACTGAGAACTTACTGAAGATGTCCGGCTGTAATTAAAACTGAGAACTTACTGAAGATGTTTGGCTGTAATTAAAACTGAGAACTTACTGAAGATGTCTGGCTGTAATTTAAACTGAGAACTTACTGAAGATGTCCGGTTCTAATCAAAACTGAGAACTTACTGAAGATGTTTGGCATTTCTTAAAACTGAGAACTCACTGAAGATGTCTGGCTGGAATTAAAACTGAGAACTTACTGAAGATGTCCGGCTGTAATTAAAACTGAGAACTTACTGAAGATGTCTGGTTTTAATCAAAACTGAGAACTTACTGAAGATGTTTGGCTTTTCTTAAAACTGAGAACTTACTGAAGAAGTCTGGCTGGAATTAAAACTGAGAACTTACTGAAGATGTCTGGCTGTAATTAAAACTGAGAATTTACTGAAGATGTCCGGCTGTAATTAAAACTGAGAATTTACTGAAGATGTCCGGCTGTAATTAAAACTGAGAACTTACTGAAGATGTCTGGCTGTAATTAAAACTGAGAACTTACTGAAGATGTCCAGCTGTAATTAAAACTGAGAACTTACTGATTTGTCTGGCTGTAATTAAAACTGAGAACTTACTGATTTGTCTGGCTGTAATTAAAACTGAGAACTTACTGAAGATGTACGGCTGTAATTAAAACTCAGAACTTACTGAAGATGTCCAGCTGTAATTAAAATTGAGAACTTACTGAAGAATGATGTCTGGCTGTAATTAAAACTGAGAACTTACTGAAGATGTCTGGCTGTAATTAAAACTAAGAACTTACTGAAGATGTCTGGCTGTAATTAAAACTGAGAACTTACTGAAGATGTCTGGCTGTAATTAAAACTGAGAACTTACTGATTTGTCTGGCTGTAATTAAAACTGGGAACTTATTGATTTGTCTGGCTGGAATTAAAACTGAGAACTTACTGAAGATGTCCGGCTGTAATTAAAACTGAGAACTTACTGAAGATGTCTGGCTGTAATTAAAACTGAGAACTTACTGAAGTTGTCCGGCTGTAATTAAAACTGAGAACTTACTGAAAATGTCCGGCTGTAATTAAAACTGAGAACTTACTGAAGTTGTCCGGCTGTGATTGTCTGAGCAAGTTTCCAGAAGCAAATGTCAGGATGACATCTCCAGTCACCGCGTTGTAAAATATTCGCAGCCTCTTTATCAGCTCTTTTCCCAGTCCTACACATCAACAATTCTGTCTCATCACACTTTAACAAACCTGTCAAATTTACTTGAATATGAGCCGTGTCACGACAAAACCATCATAATGCGTTTGCGACCAGCATGGATCCAGACCAGCCTGCGCATCCACACAGTCTGATCAGGATCCATGCTGTTCGCTATCAGTTTCTCTACTTGTTATAGGGTTTGTAAGCCAACAGCATGAATCCTGATCAGACTGCACGGATGCGCAGGCTGGTCTGGATCCATGCTGGTCACATACGCATTATGTTGGTTTTGTTGTGACGCGGCTCATATGTAAATTACAAAATGTAATTGACAAGCACTATTTTTAGACTTCTTAGATATATTACACAGTATGGGTTATATAAACAGTGAAAAAATTAATATATATATATGTAGAATGGGTTATATAAACTGTGAAAAATTAATATACATATGTAGAATGGGTAATATAAACCTGTCAAAAATTAATAAGTAAAAATATACAAAACACTTTTGGAATTTAAGACATAATAAAACATTTTAGATCCAGAAAAGTTCTTAATGTCTCTAAAAATTCAGTCCCACCTCTTAGGGTTTTTTAGGTTTTTTTTTTTAAGTTACACCAAGAATATCATCATAAGATCAGAGGTCAGAGGCTATTAATTAAAAACAAGTGACCTTAAATTATGTCACACAGGCTAACACAATATTGTCTTTAGTTAACAGGTATTTTTTTAAATAAAAGAATGTAATTTGAATGAATATCAGGCTCTGAGGAGCCTTGACCCTTGTGACTTTGATCTTTGACCCTGTGACCTCTAAGTAGGTCAAGTGGTCAATGATCATATAAAGGCAAACTCATCTTAAGTAAAATTGCTTTGAATGGGAACATGTTTATGTAATGATCAAGATCAATATTAATTTTGTTGGGGTCATGTCACCTTGACCTTTAATCACATGACCTCTCAGTTGGTCTGGTGGGTTGAACTCATTCTAGGTCATGTTCCTATGAAGTTTAAAGGCTGTGTTCATGCTCTTCTAAATGTTTAAAGTTTTGTGACAAACAGATAGACAAGAAAACAGACAGACCTGAAAAAACAGAGAAATTATTCTAACAAGAGTGATCAGCGATCACATGTGTCGCCTCAAGATATCCAATTACATGTTGCAGCTACTGTGCAGCAGGAGACACAGAAATCATGGGCACTGGGCAAAATACATGTACGTTTTTTTTTATTCAAGGGCCATAACTCAGAAATTATTGTAAAAATCTTACCTGCAAGTCTATTCTTCTCTTTACACCTTATCTCCATCTCATTTTCCCATGTGTTCAATGCATTTTTCTGATTAACACATAGGTTGTAAAGTGATGTGTTATTCTCTACAGATTTACTTCCCCTGACAGCCTGTGATCGTGGGGTATGGACCAGCAAAATGTTGCAAACTTTGTCGGCTTGTTGTGATTGTGTGAGGAAACTTTCAACATCACCTAGGATACTATGTGGTATAATATGACCAAGTTGGTCATACCGAGGGCCTTTATCTTTATATACTGTAATAGAAAAAATATCTTCACCCTTAAAGGGACTCCACTGAAGTTTTTTTGATATGACTGGACAGAAAATAATTGTTTGAGATTTATGTTCAATTTGATGTAAGTCTAGACCAATAAATTGTGTGCAGAATTTCAGATTGTTTGCCCACTCTTGTTTTCCTAAATAACAATAATTGTGAAAAATGATTCAAAATTGAAACAATTTTCACTCAAAATGGGATTAAAATAGCACAAAAATATGATTTTAAACATATTTCTGAGTACATTTCTTATTAGTTTTTTGCATATCTTTCTGTTCTTAAGTGCCCTAGCTGATCTATGTAAGAAATTAAAATTTTATGCTTTTATGATTTTGTACCTCAATGAAGTTTCTTTAAGCCTGAATTCATAAAATGGGTTTACCCTGAACTTTAAATATGGAACAGTTCATTCAAAGTTTCAGAGATTTCATTATTAAAATAAGAAAACTGTGCTACCAACAGTACAGGGTTTGGTCAAAATGTATGTACGTGCTATTATACTAGTGGCAAAGGGTGATTCCTTTCCGTTCCAAGAAGTTACGGTTGAATGCTCTGTAATATTTTGATAAGCAAGCAAACAAAAGCCATCTTGATTACAATAGCTTATCTATAGAAACATCAATGTTTTCTTGTCAATCAGTAATTGATACAAAACATCATTTTCTTGTACAAAACTTTATTATCATTAAAATTCCATATTTAACCTCGACAGTCAAGGTCATTTACAGATTCAAGAAATTTAGAAGGTCAAGGGTGTATAAAATTTAATTGCACTTACAATGATGAATTATTTCAGCATCACTTCCGGCTGGTTTCATCACTGTGGCAATCCTGTTAAAACAAAAGATTCTTTTCTACAACTTAGCAAACACAAAATCATTTTCTTATTTAACAAGATAATATTTAGTTGGCACTTGTTTAATTAAAATCATAACATTCAACATTTATACTTAGGTTACTTGTGCATTATCATAAATTCATAAAATATAAAAACCATATAACCATTTTTACTAAACCATATAATTCTTCCTTCAGGTTATAGCTAAAAGCACAAAATTATATTTAAATGGAAAGGAAGCTATGATGTCATACGTCAGGGATTTATTATCCCGCAAGTTTACATTTTTGCGAGATTTTCCGAGACCATGTTTGATATGAGAAACTCTATTATATTATATGGTTACAAAATTTTGCTTTTTAAACTATATGATCATTAAGATCGGTCAATTTAGAATTTCTGATTTGTTGGCATGTTTACATGGTTATATGTTAAATAACCATAAAACTATCTATACTGAACCATATAACCTGTGACAAAAAATATTTTTATTTCTACCGGGACATAAATCATCCCCGGGACGCCTCTGGGACAGACACCTTATATCCGGGACAATCCCCTGATTTTCGGGACAGTCCTGGATGTCGGAGACACTAATGTACCTTTTGACAAAAAAAATGAATTATAAATAAACTATTAACTTACTTTGCTTTTTTTTCAACACGTTTCTTCCTAACACCAACAGTTTGTATGGTAGGAGTAGGGGGAAGTATTTTGACATGATTTAGTCCAATCTCTCTGTCCATCTATACAAAGAATAAAACATGTTTAACATCATTACATATTCTAACACGCTAAATCACACCATTCCCCTATCAACAGATAAGGCAAACACGTGTATTATTACATAATATATGCATAGCATAAAAAAACAGAATGCTTACACGCAATTATGATGTCATCAATGATGTCAATAAACCAAATGACATCATGAGAACTACTCCTACCCTCAATGTAGTTCAACATATTTTTATCAATTTACATTTTTATTAGCATATTAGAATGGAATTAGATTTTGATTTTTCGTGCATTATAGTAGAACAATGCATGGTTTATCATTCAAATGCTTTGAAATTAATTATTTAGGCCTTTTGGCCTTTGTGATTATATTCATACGCATTCTGAACTCAAACTGTGCATTATTCTACACCCATAATGCACTCAAATTGATATTTATTTCCTAAATAATACATGGCATTGATAGTTACATCATCTAATAAAGGAGGCATAAAATATGTAAATGAACTTATGTAAATGGTTATTGGTTAGGGTTAGGATTTTAAAACTTTAAAACTGGACTTTGCTGCAGACAGATTCTAAAAGTGCTCTGATATTAACACTACAATGTATATCTCTGCTTTGTGACTTTATTTGATTTTTTTTGTAGGACATTTGCTCCCCTCAAAAATTTGAAAAGTGATCTAAGCAATTAAACAACTGTATAAAATATAATGTTTTCTTTATCTGAATAATTACCGCAGAAACTCTTTTCTTCCTCAAGGCTAGTTTTTCAATTTCCTTGTCCCAAATTTTCCCCTCAAAAAGTTTTGCGCCTCCGGACTTCTCGTCAAAGTCATCGTCATCATCCACACCGGACTTGTCCCGTTTTTTTCTTCCGGCAAATTTTCTCACATTTTTTGAGTTATTTGCTGGAAAGAAAATTTGCTGCTCTGTGTGCATTATTAAATACCCAATTAGTCTGTACCATAGCCAAACCAATATATAGTTAAAATGAAAGTCCAGGTATTAATTGTGTCTATATTACAGGTGTTTAACTTTACACACTTAATTATAATTGTCCCATGGCTATAACAGTTACAGCACTCTATTAAAGATATTAAATTAAAAACAACATACTTGCTACATGTACATTGCAACACCCACCCCCTCTCCACTCCACCCCCCCCCCTCCCTCCACTCCCACCCCCAAATAAATAATTTACTCAGAATTGTAAGAGAGATATGAGGTAAGTTTTGGTGTGAATAAAGAACAAGAGTGACATTTTCAGGGATTCATTAGAATCTGCATCTTTCACTTTCTCAGCTTGTACTGTAAAATTCCTATTAAACACCCCCTGGGGGTAAACATTTTCCAAAAAGGGGTGGGGGGCTATCAATATTATTACAACATATTTTTTCCTTAATCCAAAAATCATTGTTTTAAAATAAAATTACATTAAATTTAAGTGTTAGCAAGACTATTAGTGTTGGTACATGTAATAACATTAACAAGTGTTAAGTTTTTAAAGGGACTCCACTAAGGTTTTTTGACATGATGGGACTGAAAATAATTTTTCCAGATAAATGTACCATTTGATGTAGGTTTAGACCACTTATCTTTGTGCAAAATTTCAGATCATTCGCGCACTTCGTTTTTCCAGAATAATTATTCAAATTGCATAAAAATGACCCAAAATGAAAAGCGGTTACTCAAATCGGGCTAAGAAAAGCATAAAAATACGATTTTCAATTTATTTAAAAGTATAATTCAAAAAAATATTTGCATATATTTCTGTTTAAAGTGCCTCAGCTCATTTATGTAAGAAATTCAAATGTTATGTTTTTAGGCTTTTAAACCTCAGTGGAGCCCCTTTAAAGTTCATATGATACATTTTTGTGTTTACTATAAAGTACAATGGATTCTGAACAATTTGAATTAAATTATAGATTTATGGAGTTCAGCACTGATAAGTAGGTTTTTAGGGGCGTTTATTAGGGGAGGGGCTTATTACAAATTTTACAGTATTTGTATCTATAATTATAATCTCTACATTCTGCCTGTCTCTCTTTCATACTTAAAAATTCACATCACCCTTACTTGTAGCTTACTAAATATATCATCACTCAAAATCACTCACACAATCTGGTAGAACTCAACTTTCTCCCCATAGAACTTTTCTGTCTTTGTAACGACAGAGCGCTTTTGTCTCCTCTTACACCACCTGATAGGGATAAAATATCCAAATAAATGAACATTGTTTTTCATTCAACCTTTCACTGTTTGTAGTACTGACTAGTCTTTCTGCATAAACGCATACATATGAACCCTTTTCAATGATCAAGTGGGAGATTTTTTCTCAAAAAGAGGGAGATTTAAGAATTTGCAATAAACAAAGAAGGATGTTCTGACAGACATCAAAAAGAGAGATTTCTTTAATTTGTGAAAATACCCCTGATTTCAATAAAACTCTATGAAAATATATATGGCTGCAGAAAGTGGGATCGAGTCTCCAGCTAATTAAGTGGAAGAGTTCACATCATGTGTGATAAAGTTAGCTAAACATTGGTATATTAAAGGGAATTTCATGAGTTTGAAGTGGACTTCTTATTTTGTACTATTTATTTGCATAAAACAATGAAAATAATGATGCCCTCTCTAAAAATATATATGCAGCAAACCTGTATTAAAGACCACCTGCCAATAAAGGTCACCCTGTACATAAAAGGCCACTCTTCAAGGGGCAATAAAATTCAGAAGTAATATTAGTATCAGCAGTATTTATAGGCGGAAGCTGTTAAGAATACTTCATCTCAAAGTTGTTCTATAACTGTACCTATTTTGCTATACTTGATGCAGTGAACAATTGTGATCCAATAGAACTAAATATTATTATTACATTGTTGAATAATTTAGTTTATACTGGAGGCAGTTATATTATAAGAGCATTGTAATCTATTACAAGTTTTGTTTGTTTGTTTGTTTCATTTTACGCCTTTTTCCAACAGTATTTCAGTCATATAGGCGGGTAGTTTCCTAACCATCGTTCCTGGAGAGTTACACCAGTACTAGACTACCTACCTCCGCGCTAATCTACAAAAGCATCTCCCGGGGATCGAACCCACGCCAGAGAGGTAACAGGATTAGAAGTCATCGACTCTAACCCCTCGACCACGGAGGCTCTATTACAAGTAATAAGTATAATGTATTTTACAAAAATGAATCAATCCTGGCCAAGTAAACTCTACTCAAAGTCAAATACAAGTGTCACAGGGTGATGAAATGTGCATCAGTCTAGACTTGGACTCGAACCCAAGACCCTTGGAATACCATACTGCGACTCCACGACTTAGCTATCCATCTGCAGCGGAGTTACACATCTTCTCCTCTAAATAATAGTTCTGAACTTTCAGATCAATCCAGTATACAAACAAAAGAAGATATAAACTATTCACTCACCAATTCTGCATGTACTCATTCTCCCTGTAGCACTCTTCTTTCTCTCCATACTACTTTTTCTTATTTCTAAGGTCAAGGAACTCTTCTCTCTATCCACTTCACCGGCTGAAATACATAATTTGATTCATTTAACATGTATACTATAAGTTATAAATATTTTTGACAGGTTATATGGCCTTATATTGGCTGTTTGGAAATATAACGCTAGCAACTAGGTGAGGGTTATATTGCAAGCAACTGTTTATATACGAAATATATATGAAATATTTATAACGAATTTATAATACACTGAAAGACTTTTCTAACGCAACACTTTTTAAATTCGTATTTCACAAAAACACTTCAAGATATCTTACTTATATTTTACCAGAACCGACTTGACTACCTTTTGCGAATATTTTCAACGAAATCATTCATCCATGACGGATTATCGGTTCCGCGCGTTATATAGGTATTAAATCAACTTTTTGCACGAGGAAAACGATTTTGGCAAACCTTTTAGATTTTATTTCAATATAACTATAGTATCGAGTCAGCAACATTAAAAAAACATAGATATCCGGTAAAATATCAAATGGTTCGCATGCAAATACAAGAGCGCGCACGCGCAATCGGCATGCTTCAGGCAGGTCATTCAGCCAGACAGGTAAGTTTGTGATATTTTTTTAAATACTAACAATGCCAAGTTAATACTGGTTTATTTATGATATTTCTGATATGATACATAATTTTTTGGGAACTTAATATTTACTTTCCTATAATAAGAAGGGAAAAAACATCACTCTTGTTTGTTTATTTTTATTTTCAGGTGGCGCGATATTTTGGCAGAAATGTGTCTGTCATAGCCAGACTTCTGTTAAAGTACCAACGCACCGGTCGAGTTGAGGACAAGCGGCGGCAGCCTCGTGGCAGGGTCACAACACCTGTACAAGATGCCCAGATTATTGCAAGTCATCTTCAAAACCGATTAAAGACCGCCGAATCGACTGCATTAACAACAGTTGGTACACATGGCAGACACATTAGTAGCAAGACCTTTATCAGGCGTCTCCGCGACCAGAACATTTGAGCAAGACGACCATATCGCGGCCTTGTCCTGACTGCACGTCATCGTCAACAAAGGGAACAGTGGGCCCGCCGGCATCAGCGCATGACACGTGCAGAGTATGCAAATATCCTTTTACGGATGAAAGCCGCTTTAATTTGTTTCATTAGTGACAGTCGAGTTCGAGTTTACAGACTGCGAAAGGAACAGTTGTACGACGCCTGCATCATTCAACGTGACCAGTATGGCGACGGTTCCGTAATGGTTTGGGCTGGTGTGTCCCTACATACCAAGGCCGACTTGATCATCATTCGAGGAAATCTGACTGCTGTTAAATATCAACAGAACGTTCTTATTCCTGTCACTATTTCTCGATCTCCAAGCTGGTGGACGGGGTATAATTCTTATGAACGACGGTGCAACGGCACACACAGCATATGCCACCCGGAACCTACTACAACAGCAAAACATTCAGCAGCTACCATGGCCGTCCAAGTCTCCAGATTTGAATGTTATTGAACACCTGTGGGATGAGTTGAATAGGCGTGTGGGCAGGCGAGCGGTACAACCCCGGAACCTACCAGAGCTGGAACAGGCCCTGGTACATTCCACAGCGATTTCTGAGGAATTATGTAATGTCCATGAGACAGAGGTGTATGAAAGTGATACAAGCTCAGGGAGGACATATTGGATATTAACTGATTAATATTATGTTTTACTCATTCTGTGATAACAACTGTGATAAAACAATCATTTCACATCGTTGTGTGATTTATTCTCTGTTACTCATGTTTTATTTCTGTTAAATTTTATACTTTTCCATTCATCGACTACAATAAATTTTTTACAATACATGTGTGAAGTATTCATTAATCTTTACTCTTAATTTCACTAATAACCATTCTTTTATAATCCAAAATACACTAAAAAGCACAAGTGTTGCGTTAGAAAAATCTTTCAGTGTATAGCAAAAGATTTCTTAGAAAATTGATGGCAGTCGTGTATATAAAACTATATAAATGTCATGATTATCCAATGAAAAGTGACATTACAAACATGCAGTATTGTAAAGCTATTGAATACAATTGTTACTATAAATAGTTACAAATCTAGGCAGCTATTTTAGCTTATTTCAGTCATGTGATTAAACAATAAAGGGAAGCAACTCTGTGTCTACGCTTCAGTTAGTTTATAGGAATTAGGAATTTATTTAAGTTTGATTGTGTTGGAAGCTATATTAGCTTATTAAGACACTCTCAAATCCAATCCTGGAACCAACCAGTACTAAGCAATGAGTGTAAAGTTTCTTGCTTAAACAGAAACAACGCCTAACAATGGCCAGCAATCCAATGGATTACAAGTCCAACGTGTTAACCATTCGGCCACGCCACCACTCATAATATAGACTCTTTAGAAACAGGATTTCTAATGATAGAATAATGCAAATTAAATTCTTTCATTCAGGTTTGCTATTCATCATGATATAAATAATTCTATAATCCGGAAGTGAAAAAAAAATACATTCAACACATTTTGGAAAATTTTAAGGCACAAACTTGAGTTTGAGTAGAGTTATTCTGTTTGGCAATTATCATACACGTTGCTCACATACCGTGATACTTAAATCTAGTCAGGTATGATAACATAAAATAATTTAACTACAACTTCTATTGTCTACCTTTAATCATGGATGTTGCTGAATCCACTGTTTTTAAACCATCTGTCAATTTCGTTGTAGGTTTTTCAGATGTTTCTGGTAAAAGAAAAGAGAAAAAAAATTGTAATATAGCACCACATAAAAAACCACGGTAGATTATCACATGACTTTAAGGTTTACGCTCACTGACAATAATGGCGGCCTATAAACTTGCCGGTTCACAGTCATGAAAACAGTCACATTTTGACAGAATTGATCCTAGCATCCAATATAATATAATACATTTCATCATGTCAAGATTATGTTCTTACATTTTTTTTCATTTTTCTTTTTTGCTACTCAATTTGTCTTCAAAATGGGGCGGGGGTGTCGTCCAGAGAATCAGACAGTTAATACTGCCCTCACACATACCTCGCGACCTTACTGCGTCCTTACTGCGACCTTGCTACGACACAGGACGCAGCACAGTCGCCATGGACGCAGCAGGGACGCAGCGATGTCGTAGCGAGGAACCCAAGGACGCACAAGGTGGCAGACCGTCGGCGACTATTTTGAACATGCACAAAACAGTCGCAGAAACTCTGCGTTCTTGCTGAGTCCTGGTTAGGTCGCCGTGGGATCGCAGTGGAGTCGCCATAAGGACGCAATAAGAACGCAATAGACGTAGTACACTCGTACTTAGGACGCCGTAAGGTCAGACTCAGAATGAAATTTACTGGTAAAAAGTATTGTTTTTATAGACGTAGGAAGAACGTAGTAGGGTCGTTGTACAGTCGCAGGACCATCGCCGGACTAACGCAATAGTCGTCGTAGAGTCGCCGTAAGGACGCAGAGAACATAGCACAGTCGCAGCTGGGTCGCCGATGATCGCCGTGGAGTCGCCTTGGGGACGCAATACAGTCGCAGTGGAAACGCCATGGACGTAGAAGGGTCGTATTGGGGACATAGAGAAAACGTACTGAACACAAGACTGCAGAGCCCCGGACCGTCTGCGAGAGAAATTTGAAAGAAAACCAACGATTTTCGAAAGAAAAATGCTATTTTACTAGTTTTCAAGTCGCAGTAAGGTCGTGGTTTATGTGTGAGGGCACCTTAAGCAAGAGGTTTTTGGTTAAAAATCCCACAAAAAGGTTTTCTTGATTTTCCAACTTCACAATGTGCACCCAATAGTTTTGACATCTAAGGAAGATATGATGATCAGACGTCATGTCTAGAAAGGGATTATTACATTAATGGGAAAACATCTTGTGCCACTTTCAGTTCTGGAAGCTTAAAGGCTTTCATAACTTTACTTACCATTTTTTTTCTTCAAGTCTGTACTCATTTTCCCATCAGTATGGTCAGACTTTTTCTGCCTAGATTCAGGCCTACCTTTTTTCATGCTTGTGTATTTCTGAAACAATAAGTGACGAATCATCATTCTTTCTCTAGCATAGTCTCCAGGTGATTTTTTTCACTGTATTTTACACCCGAATAAATGCTGTTTCCCCTTGCCTAAAATAGGTATTATATATATTTTCCCCAGAAATGACCTGTGCACTTCTTCACCAGAACCATGACTTAAACAGCATCTGACTTTAATATATCAGATAGCAGACAGAACAAGAACCGGTTGAACCGGGTGATGCTCCCCGAGAAGGTTCTGGACACAGGAAAGTATAAAAAAATGAACAAAGGGCAAAAACTCCAAAATTAGGCAAGGCGGAGTTATGTTTTTTTGCACTGCACTTCTATTCAATGAGATCTATCTATCTATAAAGTTTCCTGATGATATCAGAGTTATGTCCCGGGTAAAATTCAAAGTGTAAAAATGAACAAAGGGCAATAACTCCAAAATTAGACCAGGCTTTGTTTAGGTTCTTTAAGCATTGCAGTTCTATCCAATTATATCTAGCTACCTACAAAGTTTCATGTTGATATCTCTAATAGTTTTAAAGTTATGTCCCGGACAAAAGTCAAAAAGTAAAAATAAACAAAGGGCAATAACTTCAAAATAAGGCAAGGCAGAGTAATGATTCTTAAGCACTGCACTTCCACCCAATGAGACCTATCTATCTACAAAGTTTCATGTTGATATCTCTTATAATTTTAGAGTAATGTCCTGGACAAAGTTCAAAGTGTAAAAATAAACAAAGGGGAATAATTCAAAAATTAGGCAAGGCAGAGTTACGGTTCTTGTGCACTGCACACCTACTCAATGAGATCTATCTACCTACAAAGTTTCATGTTGATACCTCTTATACATTTAGAGTTATGTCCCTGACAAAGTTCAAAGTTTAAAAATAAACAAAGGGGGATAATTGAAAAATTAGGCAAGACAGAGTTACGGTTCTTGTTCACTGGACACCTACTTAATGAGATCTATCTACCTACAAAGTTTCATGTTGATACCTATTATAGTTTTAGAGTTATGTCCCTGACAAAGTTCAAAGTGTTAAATAAACAAAGGGGGATAATTCAAAAATTAGGCAAGGCAGAGTTACGGTTCTTGTGCACTGCACACCTACTCAATGAGATCTATCTACCTACAAAGTTTCACGTTGATACCTCTTATACTTTTAGAGTTATGTCCCGCACAAAGTTCAAAGTGTAAAAATAAACAAAGGGGGATAATTAAAAAATTAGGCAAGGCAGAGTTACGGTTCTTGTCCACTGCACACCTACTCAATGAGATCTATCTACCAACAAAGTTTCATGATGATACCTCTTATACTTTTAGAGTTATGTCCCGGACAAAGTTCAAAGTGTAAAAATAAACAAAGGGGAATAATTCAAAAATTAGGCAAGGCAGAGTTACGGTTCTTGTGCACTGCACACCTACTCAATGAGATCTATCTACCTACAAAGTTTCATGTTGATACCTCTTGTTGTTTCAAAGTTATGTCCCGGACAAGGAAAGGGGACGGATGTTCTCACAGGACAGTAATTATGTGGCTACTCTATTGTTCTCTCTTTTGTTCTTTTAGCCACGCAAAAGAAAATAGCCACATTTAAGCATTACGGAATGAATGACATCAAAGAGAAAGAACAGTTACCTATTGTCCTTCTAGCCACATAATTACTCTCCTGTGAGTGCGGACGGATGGAAAGACGGAGGTTCTCACTGGACAGTAATTATGTGGCTAATCTATTGTTCTCTCTATTGTTCTTTTTAGCCACACAAAAGAAAATAGCCACATAAAAGCATAACTGAATGAATGACATCAAAGAGGAAGAACAGTTACCTATTGTCCCTCTGGCCACATCATTACTGTCCTGTGAGTGCTGACGGACGGATGGACGGACGGACAAGGCGGCGACTATATGCTCCCCCGAAATTTTTCGGGGAGCATAAAAATGTCTCTATAGCTTCTTCTGTGTACCATGCACGTTAAATTGAATTGAAATTGAAAAACTTTTTTAAATGTGAATGTAATTCCAATTCTCAGTTGTTGGAATTTGATTCCCTTTTTCTGATTTTCCCCTATAAAAAGCCATGGTTGTTTTGAAAATTGAAAAAAAAATCACTGTGCAATGTATTTAAACATACAAATGTATGATGTTACATAGCAAAAGAAGCAGATTCCATTTGTCATGTGATCGATATTTGTTTCATTACGAATACAACAATGCGAACAAATTAAAAAGTGATTTGTTATAATATTGTCAAGTCTAATTCTTTGCTTGGTGATTTACAAACTTACAACCAGTATCTCAGCAACCTTTTCTCACCAGGTTTCAAAAACAGTGACAACTCTCAATAAGTAAAAAATGTTTGCAATTATTTTTTTACATGATTTCACTTTTAATTTTTGTTAATGTCCTGTAATATGGTAGTCAAAGTATTAACTTTTTTTTTAAATATAATATAAGCCTTGTCTTGAAAAAAAATCCAAAACCTACATGTATATTATATAGAGTCTAGAATGTATCTCCACTAAAAGACTCAATCTTCAGTTACAATCAACTTACAGTATCGCAATAACTTTAAAGTACAAGTAATCTATGTCACAATTATATTTAATTGAAAACAGATTTTTTGCGACTAAATAAAATAACAAATGATAAGATCATTTATTCTTTACGGCAAACACTTGCCTTATATTGTCATGGTTGACAGTTTGTACAACATACACTTCTACTTTCGTTTTGTTTCCCGCGGTAACGTCACAATATAGTCTGGTTATAGAATTTTCAATAAATTATACTGTAATGCGGCTTTTTGTAACACAGTCTGGAATTTAGAATCTGGGTTATGTGAACGCTTTTAACAAATCCAGTTATAGCAAGCGTCTACACGTTGACTGTTTGGAACAGACGAAAGTCCAAAAAATTTACTTTCTTTGCAGCGTATGTCATTTTATTACCCGAAAGATTGTTGTCAAGGATTTGGGCAAATGGATTCATCAAAGGTATAAATACAAATGTTCGGCCAAATAGTAAAATACACCAGAATATACATGTCAGCCTGACACGACGCATAAACCAGCTAAATTGTCAATGTCTGCTAAAACGTTATCAAATGTCCTTACCTGGGATGTCTTGGGTCACGATAACTGAGCGTGAAGAAAAATTACTGATTATTTTATCTGCAAAACATAATCCAGTACAACTTAATTAAAATTCCAGTCATTTCATATCATGTGATTCTGTTTTATTCTTAGATTTTACCCTTAATTATCATGCTTAATGATCAACATTATTTTTTGTCCAATCACATTGTAGTATTTTTCAAATTTCTGCTAAGTCTAACTTTGGTTAATGTGTACTAACTAAATAAAATTTACTTAATCTGTCGTCTAACCAGTCTAACAAATTCCAATGATGCATTATATCAGGGAGGAGTTAGAGGTGTGGTTTGCACTCTGAACTGTAAAATATAAAGGTTAGCAAAACAATGCCAACATAAAAAAAATAGGCTTTCTAAATGTGAGGATACAATCAATTAATTTATTACATAGATAATACATGTGGGGCATGCAGAAGCAAATGATTACATAGTAACTTTTTTATATCCTTTTAACTCTAAGAAAAATGTCTGTTATAAATTGCTGACTGTTTTAAACTTCTTTTTTTCTAGAAAAGGTAACCAAAACATAATTTTCTTTCATTAGATAGGAATAAACTGCATTAACAATCCTTGATATTAAGAATATAATGATTACATTTTTTTGGCTGGAAAACTCATTGTAAATGGACCCCGTCCACCTGTAAACCTAGATTGACACACAGAAAAACTGTTTTTTCAAATGAGCAAATCAATAGGGATTTTAAATGTTAGTGAATTATAACTTAAAGCTAATAACAAATTTGTATAAATTATTAATCTAATGTATCTTCTCACATTTTCCATTTATTTATAAAGGATGTACACATTTCATTAACTCCATTGTTTTTACCTAATTGTATCATTTTCGTCGCTGTTCTTTTTTTTCCAGATATTCTATAGGTATAATTTCTGTGACATTTCAGTAAAAAATGTGCCTGATTATTTGTTGATAGGGCCATTTATTTAGCTTATCTAAATGTGATATGTTAGAAACTTGACAAGGTGTAGACATCTTGTAGAGAGAAAGGGCGGAGCTATCAGTGATTTAGTGAAATGCCTCGTTTTTAGTTGAAAAAATAATGTTGATCATTAAATAGGTTAATGTTTAATAATATGCATTAACAAAAATAATTGGTCGCCTGCCTGCGGCAGGCTTGACCAATTATTTTTGTTAATACATATTATTAAACACTAACCTATACTTGTTGTGATCTTGGAGCAGTAAAAAGTACATGTGTACATTAAAGAGCTAGAATCACTAGAATCATATATTATTATTTTAGAATTCAAAGATTTAAGACATTAGTTTGTAATATGTAAAAAGGAGCTATATGCCATGGTAAGATGTCCTGATTTTTAGTTAAGTTTATTTAACATCACTGTTCTACTCAGTCCTCAGATGGTGTGAAGAAACTTTTAAAAGACCTAAACCCAAATAAAGCTTCTGGTCCTGACCAAATATCCCCTAGGTTATTAAAAGAGCTCCATCAAGAGGTAACTCCCATACTGACCCACATCTTCCAGATCTCACTTAAAACAGGTATTGTCCCAGAAGACTGGAAGCATGCAATAATTGCCCCAGTTTACAAAAAAGGCCCAAAATGCAAACCCAGCAATTATAGACCAATCTCCCTCACATGCATAGCGTCCAAATTGATGGAGCACATCTTAGTGTCCAATATTATGTCCTTTATGATAAACACAACATCCTTAGCCCCTATCAACATGGCTTCAGGTCAAAACGGAGTTGTGAGTCCCAGCTAGTAAGCTTCTCCCAGGAAATTCATGACAATCTTGAAAGTGGCCAACAAACTGATGTCATAGTCATGGATTTCAGTAAGGCATTTGATAAGGTGGACCATCACAAACTTGTGAGTAAACTAGAAAGATTGGGTATAAACTATGAGGTTACAAATTGGGTCCATTCCTTCCTTAAGTCACGCTCCCAGCAAGTCGTAGTTGAAGGTCAAAAATCAGGAATTCTACCAGTTCTCTCAGGTGTCCCCCAAGGCTCGGTATTAGGTCCCTGTCTTTTCCTTTCATACATAGATGACCTCCCAGATAGTGTCAAAGGTAAGGTTAGACTCTTTGCAGATGATACTGTTGTCTACCTAACCATCAGATCCAAACAAGATGCCCAAACCCTCCAAGATGACCTTCATGCTTTAGAAAAATGGGAAAAAGACTGGTCCATGGAATTCAACCCTGACAAATGTGAAGTTCTCAGGATAACAAGAAAAAGAAACCCTGTAATATTTCCTTATACCCTCCATAACATCCAACTAAACTCAACTCAAGAAGCGAAATACCTAGGAGTCTCTATTAGTCAAGACCTTTCATGGACCAAACATATAAACAACATCACATCTAAAGCTAATAATTCCCTCAGATTCATTAGGGGTAAAGTCAAAAATAATGAGGCAAAAATTTGAAAATAGGGTCAAAATTGAAATTTCATATTTCTACTTATTTTTCACTTAAAACCATGTGATATTGATTGATGTTTAATGCCGAGTAATTGGATTTTATCTAACACAACACAAATTGTATAAATCAACATTTTATTTCAACTTATTAACAAAAATTAACAAAACCAATGCTTTATAAAATTGTGTCACTATACTTCCCAATGTTAATTAAATCATATGTGTTGTTATATTTTAGTATCAGTAGTGATGTACGGATAAAAAATATACCATTTTTTTACCAGTAGTTTTACAAGAGAAAAAAAAATGCTATTGTTTTGTTACTAAAGTCTGATTTTCTTTAATGTAAGAACATCAAGTTTTTCTAAAGTTGGAGAAAATTGGGCAGAGAAATAAAAAAGTAGTTGTAAGTATGTATTAATAATTACTTTGATGTAAAATAAAGTTTCCAAATATTTCAACCTCTCAAAAAAAAAAAATAAGCAGTCAAATTTAACTTGTATTTTATAAAAAAGCGTTACACTCCTGACATGACTAGCATAACTTGTTTAAATGATAATAGTTCTTTACAGAAACATTGGAGGTAAAAATTACATAAGAAACACATGTACAGAACACCACTGATGTTTGAAAACATACTGATAGGTTATTACATTTGAGAATAATTCTTAGAGCAAAGATATGAAGTTACACTTAAAACCGCAAACAAGTTTCTAACATGTAAACAATTAGCAAAAAAATGGAAATAAAGGTTATAAACATTAATTAAGCTTCTGTTCCTAACCAATAGGAAAATATCAAAATGACCATGAAGAATCTATTTCACAAAAAAATGCACAATTTCACTTTAACATTTGAGTGTTACACTCCTGACACATTCAGGCAAGAGACTTAATATCTTAAAATATTGATTTAAAATATTTTTTAATGAAATACTTAAGACAAGTATAAGTTTTCTATGTTAATTGTTCCTTTTTGTTTATCTTGCCTTTTTAAAAACACTTTGTTAAAAAATAAGTGACCTTTTTCAAACCTTTACTATATATATGTGAACCATCTGAGTGTAAACATTTTCTTTTTTATATATGTTCTACTTGCTTTCTACCCCTGGTAGAAAACCATACTGGTTTAAGAGAACATTTATTTAAATAAAAAGATAAAAAGAAGCTACAAATTTAAACTACATAAAGTACAAACATTAACATTAACTGTTCAAACTGTGTTACACTCCTGACACAAGATGTGCACTTGGAACTGTTTATTTGAAAATATATGATTTCTATGATCTTAAGTCATTCAAGTTAAAAATTGAAGCGGTATTCCGCGCCCAGGAAGAAGAATTGTCATTTTGAGTGTCTGAACAATATCTTCAAAGGACTGCCAGGACACATCCTCCTTGGCCGGCCAACTGTACTCGTCAGCACCTCCGCTTGCTTTAAGGAACCTAACTTGGATGTCATCATCTGCCTGTGATATTACCTATTCAATAAGTAGTTAATATAATTAAATGAAAAGAAAACAATCACATTTCAAGTTCTAAAATTAGGTCATAAAATTACTGAGGAAACTAATGAAAAATATACAAAAAACAACATGACCCAGCAATGTACAGATATGTTCTTCTGTTTGACTTGAGAGCTACAGCTACAAAATCTTCAGGGTTAAATAATTATGCAATATGATAATTGAAAGGTTTATACTAACTGTGTCTTTAAAAGATACATTTCTAAATATATTGGTTGAAATTCATCTGACAAAGAACAGAAACATGCTTAATTTATCCTTCTATATAAGATATTTATTTTGTCTTACCTATTTAAACGCTGCAAGCTAACATAATGTTCAATTTCTGGAATGTTACCATCAACAATGTTGGTAGGGAACTGTCTCCATCTCCAATGGTTACGTTAGGAGTATCCCCATGAACACATTTATCTTGCAAGACAGGGCTTTGCACATATTCTGTTAACACACATGGTCTGTATAGGTTCCATTCTTTGACATATTTTCAATATATTTGGTTAAGTCACTTGCCAAGATTTGCTCTAATTCCAATTTGTCAGTCTGAAAAATAAAATTGTAAATTGTATTTTTTTTTTAAACCTATGATTTAAAAATATAAAATTACAAGTTTTTTAAATAAAAAATTTAATTAAATGAATTTCAGGCATGACTTTAAAACTAAGCTTGATAAATACCTCTGGTAAGTTTTGCATGTGATGAATTACTTTGCTTCTCAACTGAGTGTGACTTTGTTGAGTCATCCCAAGGGCATGTAACTGATCACTGCTGGCCCAAAAGAAACAATTGCCGTCATCAGGAATAGTACCTGGAATCTTCCAACCTTTTCTGTGAATTTTATTTTCAAACTCGCTTAGAGTTTCATTTTTATGCTCTGTTGAGTTGTTATATATATAAGACTCAATGCTGTCTGTAAGCACACCTCTCAGGTTAGTCTCTCTCTCACAATTGTTAGTATTACTAGCTACTTCTTTATTAAGGTTAGGTATTAAGCAAAAGCAGAGCAAAAATGCAGTGTTTTGGCAGAATTCAAATGGTTAGTATTTTAAAAGACTAAGGACTACAATAACTGAAAATTGAATATGCAGGAACTGCATTCAAAAAAATGTGATAACAAAAATGATTGCAGAATTAACAGTAATTATCATAGATGAAAAAAAAATTACTGTATGTCTTTATTGTTATTGACTTGGTTACTTTTTAGAAATAATATCAAATCTCATCATACTAATTGGCATATATAATTGTTTACATGAGTTTTATAGTGTTTTTTTTTTATATCTACTTCAATTGTTTATTAGTCTGCTGAAAATAATATAAAGTTAACTACAATTGCCGAAAAAGAAAAAAATGTCAGGAGTGTAACACTTTTCACTATTCTCACATACTGTATTTTACTCATATTGCATACTTAATCTTCAATAATTGTATATAAATGCTTTGTTCTGCAAAGAGTATATACATGATTTTAATTTCTCAGTAATTTCTTTAGTGTACTATAATAAAATTTCAATGATTATACTTGTCAATAGTAGACATTTAGGAAATTTTGATGGTATTTAAGTAAATATACTAAAAACAGAACTTAAGCATTGTGGTTTCTTAAAAAAAAACAAAAAAACAAATACTTAATTACTTTTCCTTATGAATAGTGGCAAGAATCATATTTAGATACGAAATTTATATGGTATATTCATGAAATCGTTACAAGGTTAAAAGATGGCAAAAATAGTGTTACACTCCTGACATCACTGATGATCATGTACAGAAAGTGCATGATTTAGTTAACTTGAACTAATGTCACTGCTGACATCACTTGGACTCATGTTTTTGAAAAAGAAAGAACATATTAATATAACACCTTATATGCAATAAGGAAATCAGTAAAAGTACAAGATGTTACACTCCTGACACTGAGCAGTGTCATTATTTTGAATCGAAATCGAGTCAATAACATTTATAGCATAGAAAAAAAAGAATTTATATTCTTAACTATATACAATGGTCAAAATTTTAGAAGCAAGGAAAAGCTTTTAATAACAAAGATATAAGCAGAAACTTTACTGTTAGTACAAACCATGCTTTTTTTAAAGTACATTTTATTTTACAACGACTGACTTTAGTGACTGGATAACCAAGTGGGATACCTACATTTTACAAAAAAAATAAGAAAAAGCAATTGCGAGAGCATAAGATATATAACATAAGTGACAAAAATTGTCATTTAAGAAACTGTTTTTCTGTATCAGGAATAGAGAATCATCATTTGTGTAAAATGTCACACTAAAAGTGTTACACTCCTGACATTTTAGGGTAATTTTTTTCTTGTATCCTTTTCACTTGTAGCGTGATGTCCCTGAAACTTGGCATATTTTACAACACTGATAGATGCTATATTTAGCACTTATAACAATATACACAACTATTAAAATATTAATCTGGGTAGCCTTTAAATGTTTGGCCTCATTATTTTTGACTTTACCCATAGAAGAAATGTTAAAACTCCAAATAAAAAGATAAAAGAAACTGCATATAAGACCTATGTTAGACCTCAGGTTGAATATTGCTCCATAGTTTGGCATCCTTGGCAGAAATACTTAATTTATAAGATAGAGCAAGTACAAAGATCAGCTGCTAGATACATTTTTAATGATTATGACTATACAAGTAGTGTCTCAAAAATGATAAATGATCTTAATTGGCAAACCCTTGAACAGCGTCGAAACATCAGTGCTGTAACCTACTTGTATAAAATCCAAAACAACATTGTTTTTGTAGACCACCAACACCTTACTCAAACAAGAAATCTGAACTACCTGATACCCTACTCGAGGACACAATATCATCAAAATTCTTTCTTTCCTAGGAGCATACGTCTTTGGAATAGCCTTCCCCTAACAGTTCAGTCTAGCCCCAGTTTAAACATCTTTACTGAGAGGCTTGACCCATTCTATAAATTCTAAACTGCACACTATGTTTTTAAATTGATAGTCTTGTAGAACTTTTATTCTTTTAACTTTTTAATTTGCACATAAATAAATTCTTTTATTAACAGTTCCCTGACAACGCGCCTGCTAGTCATAATCATAATTGATTGTTAAGCAGTATGATGTAGATGTAGATGTAGATGTAGATGTAGTCCTACATATACATTGTATTTGGAAGTCAACGGGCATAATAATCTGAACTAAGATATTTTTGCCCTAATTTGGAGATGAATATGTTCTGAGAAGTTGACAATGCATTTGAACATTTAATTGTAAAGATTTTTCTTGTATAATTTTATACTTTTTTCATTCAGGTTGCATTACCAGACTTTTATATAGATTGGTCAGATGTGAATTTATGGATATCCATGGCAACTATTGCCTTTAATCCTACTTATTGGAATGTGGTAAACTTATCTTTTAAATCTTATTTTTATATGTAATTAAATAATTTTAATTTGTGTTTCTGTTAAACTATCTAAAGATTGTATCATAGAATTTTTTATTCATTGATGAGTTAAAAGCTATTGTCTTTATTTTACTTATAATAATAGGTATGTCCACACCTGAGTGCATTAGATATGGCATGGAAATGTTTTAGCCTATGTGAAAACATTGACGAGGGGGCATAGCCCCTCAAGTATAAATCAGATTGCCGAGTGTTCTTCTTCTTCTAGTTAATGCTTAATGAGGGTCCATCCGCCCTTTCGGGCACAAAATGCAGCTTGCGCTGTCGAGTACGGACCCCGGACATGTCACCAGTCATGTCCTTAAAGAGTTAATTTTGAAGCACAAAATGGTGATAATTTACCTCCATGCAATTTCCACGGAGTATTAGCCAAAGATATGAATTTTGAGCCGAAAAGTAGGTCACTGTACGGCGGTCAATGAGAACCTAAATGTACAGTAACCTGTGACAATAGGAAAGGTGTTTTTAGCCCTGAAAAGGGCTGTTTGTGCCAGCTATAGGCCTGCCTTACAAGCCGTCTATCTGTACTAGGGGCTCACGCACCCTAGTACACCATCCTCGTCGTCTCAGCCTACTTTGTAGGGCCACTCCCCTCGGCATTAGTCAGGACATCGGCAGCTGGTCCGCAGAAGTGACGAAGTAGGGTGTTCCCTAAGGAAAAATTTAAGTTGACTACCAGCCAAGTTGTAAATCTTCTGCCGATGCCCTGTGCCTTCTCAGCGACGTGCACGCTCCGAGGGGAAGTGAGAAGTTGCCGAGTGTTTTGATGTTCTTTCTCTTTTGTATCATGGGCAAAAATAAAAACATGTTCCCTGTTGTCACAATATGAAACCCACAAAAAAGTAACCAATGATTGAGCATCTGAATATGATATTTCTGTCGCTATCCCTTTCTCTGTCATTACAAAAAGTAAACCTCAGAAAAATTTAGCCAATCAACAGGCAGTGTGGAGTGCGGGTAATTAATACATGCACTCCAGTTAACACACTGTGTATACAATTTAACTCTTGTCACATTTTCAACAGAACGGTCCCGCAACTAATACAATAGTAAAGGAAAATAGACATGTTAAGCTATAAAAAATGACTTCACAGTATTGTTTATTAATTTAAATTTCAGTTAGCAAGATGGGAGTATAGAAACAAAGGTCTATCTCGGATATTTGGTAAATATGTTGGATGCTGGGTGTTAGGTGCATCCATATTTGCACTTGGAATTTTTAGAGATATGAGGTGAGTATAATATAGCATTATTATGGAGTTATATTTACAAGTCTAGACTGATTTGTGTACAAAATCTTTGAGCTGAAAGAAGTCATTTTTAAGGTTGACTGTTCAAAGAATAGGGAGGGTTGTTGTAATTGAACACATGTCGGCATCACTGTCACCCTAAGCCTTTAATAAAGTTTTTAAATTTTGTGTGCAATTTAATATTTCCAAAACTTCTGAATGGAATGGGCTGAAACATCTGACACCACTTGTTCTCTTTAATTACTTAACATGATGGACACCGATCCTAAAATTCTGAGTTGGTTTTTTTACAGAGTTATGCTATTTTCTTACTGTCATGCACTGAGAATGCTGTCTTAATAATGTTAGATACCCAAAACTGAACCATTAACATTTATCAGCCATGGGATTTTTGGCCAATATCCAGTTGATTAGAGGTGTGTCATAGTCGGCTATTTCATTGGTTGCCTTATAATTTCATGAGGCAATTAAAACCAATCAAGACCTTTTTCTACCCGGTATGGCAAAAATGTAAAGTTATTTTGACTTTTACCTTTTTACTCTCCATTTGCACTTGAATGGGCATATTAATGTGACTTTAAGCCACCTAAAACCAGTTGATATACTGTTATTATAAAGATTGTTTTTCTATATTTTACTGACAGGTTCAGTGCAGCTTTAAATACACAGCCAAGATGGTATACATTACAACAAAACTGGATTTTATGGTTAGGATATACCTGTATCACTATAGGAACAGTATTTGTATTTACTAGCTTTTATGCTTTAGGATATTATGGAACTTTCTTGGGTAAGTATAAAAGATTATTCACAGTTGTATTGTCCATATCAATTTATATTTTTGTAGAGCTCTCTTAAATTTTGTCCCTATAAAGACTCTTAAGTAAGTGAAAGATTATTCATAGTAATATTGTCAATTTCAATTTATATTTTTGTTGAGCTCTATTAAATTGAAAGGCCCATTATGCCCCAGAAATGCATTTATTTTTATTTCTCAAAAGCTTTTTGTTTTGGTGTCCTGTTAATTTGAGTTTCCAAAAAGTCATTGGCCAGTAACCTAAACCATCTTTTCTATCTGTTTCTTTTTGGCAATTAGAAATAGTTGCAATTAGAAATAGTTACTGTGATTAAGTGTTTTGAAGGAAAGTCAAAATAGTAATTTGTTTACATTTTGCTACTTTTACAACAAAGAATTTCACATTCATTACTGTATTATTCAGGCAATAAGCATCTGACATGCTCTTAAATATCCTGTATGTTGTAATTAAGGATGCAACAACACTTAAGTAAAATTTTATATATGTATATAATTATCCTTCTAAAACAATTTCCAAACATCCAAGTATATGTTAAATATGTACTGCAAATGTTTATTCTCATTATAAGTAATCATTAAAATATATATTTCTTCTTAGACTTTATCGAAAATAAATTTCTAATTACCTCCCTTTATTTACATGAAATGTAAATTAAGTAATATCTTTACAAATAATGCTTTTTGGAAGTTACAGTGTTGATAACTCTTCATTTGAGCATCATATTTATGATATAACGACCATAAAAAAATGTGTAACTGTATCTTTAACATTTCAAAACTCATATAGGCCATTTCTAAAGAAGCAAAAATTAATATCTGAGCCTTCTGGGGCATAATATGCCTTTGACTACTGCTAAGAAGACTTCTTGTATTGGATTTCCTTTCCTTTGAATCGTGAACAGTACACAGTGAAGATATGAACTTTTAGCCTGCAGACAGAAACTGAATCTACCAATGCAATAAGTGCAGACCAAGATCTGATCATATGGTCTTGTTGTGGTCTGCCGTGTTTGCTATTCAGCCAGTACTTAATCAAGTGTTTTCAGAATGAGAAGTAATATAAAATGCAATAAATAGAGGATATTCAAGTTTTTTTTTCTATAAATACAGGATTTATTTTGATCAAGTGGTATGAAAATAAATATGTCACGAGTGACGGGAGCCACAAGTGAAATATGATAATTTTCTTATCACAAGATGAAAATAAATTTTGTATTTTTAGAAGAAAAAAAAACTTTGTTGATTATATGCTTTTTCTTTTTTTTGACCTTACAATTCTTCAGGATTCTACTTTCATTTTGTGTATTGGCTGAATTAAGAAGAAAGTAGTCTGGCAAGACACAAGTGAAAATACGAAAAATATGTTTCACTGCAGTGAAAAATATTATTTTACAGTGAAAATACAGAAAATGAAAATACACACGTTATTTCATCAATAATTTTTAATATTTCATTCATAAGTATATAATAAATAAGTATATAATAAACATTTATTCAAGAGAAATCACTTGCAATGGTTCATGTATATAGAAAGTATTCTACTTTTATCTGTTACAGGAGATTATTTTGGTATACTGATGGACAAGAAATGTACCAGTTTTCCATTCAACATTATAGACAACCCAATGTATTGGGGATCTTTCTTAAACTTTTTTGGTGCAGCTCTTGTGTAGGTATATTTATATGAATATTAGTTATCATCCCTTTTCCCACTTCTGTCTTGGTAAATGAACTGGTCCTTCTTTTACTTTTGAATGGAATTGTTCTGTTTTCTGTGAGTTGTTCTTAAATTAAACACAAGATAAAATTGTATTAGATTTGCTTACATGTGTGTAATGTAAAGAAATATATTATAGTATTATTACATTGAAACATGGTAAATGATTAAAAGGTCATTTAGATTCCAGATTGTCTGAAGCAGCCAGCCAAGGGATGATGTTATTTTGGCTGCTTGAGACAGGGGGCTGCTGAATGGAGGACCAAGTTTTTATCCAAATATATTATTTGTTTCTTTAAAAAATATTTAATTTAATTATAAATACAGCAATCTGTTTCATCATCATCATCAGTTTTTAACCATTGACCGCGGAAAGCAGGTGACCGTTGAACAGATGTATAAAATTAGGGATGGCATCGAGTAACTGGTTAACTGATATTCGGACATTCAATCGAGTACTCGGTTATGTTAAACATCGAACATCTGAATATCGTTTAACAAAATTGATATTCGATTACTCAAAAAAAAAAAAATTCTATACATGTAATTTTTTTTCAATTAAGAAAGATTAGTGTATCCAATTAGTTCAGAAATTTGGAGATGCACATAGTTACAAATTCTATAAATTTAAATAAAAAATGAAAGTAGCATGTAGACAGTGTTGATGTTGTGTGATAAAACTTTTAAGATCATTGGAAATCATCTGAGTAATCATCAGATAAATGACCGAGTAATTGAGTATAAGTTTGGGTATTTGTAGCCATCCCTGTATAAAATAGAGTGATTTTCATCGGGGGCGTCACGAAATGGCTGTTTAGGTCAGGTGACTGCCGAAATGAGGTGACTTAGTAGAGTTTCAACTCTACTCTGTACATATCATGATAAATGTATTATGTAGCAGCAGTTCTGTTTGTAAACCCCAGTGACTTGGTGGCTCGTTGGCTTTTTATTCTCATAATAAGATTGTTATTTCAGAAAAGCTAGTCAAAGTGGAATATTGTTGAGCTTGGTTGTGGCCGTGTGTTATAAAATTGCAATAAAGTATGAAGGGTATGTATAAAACATAAACAGTTTTATCAAGCATATAAACATGCATGCAACAACACATGTTATTTACCATTGATATTTATTAGGGCTGGGAACGAATAAGGAATTTGATGTTCGAATATTCGTTTTCCATATTCGAATATATTCGAATATTCGTTTTTACAACATTTGCTTTGACGTATACGTATCCGAAAATGATTGCGTTGAATACTATACTACTTTAATATGCCTGTAATAATCGACGATTAAAAATACCTTCATTACTACGTCAGTTTTTTTTTAATTTATATATTGTAATTCGACATATATGTTTACAATAAATTCATAAATTGATTGCCTTTTGTACAGTTAATCCTATTTGTCTTATTAACGGGAGGTAACTCGCGTGACTTGATTGACAGTAATATGAATCATCGTAGCCTCTTAGCCCCAATAACAAATAATTATATTGAAACTTAACTTGTATTATTTTTTTATATTCATTTCTAATTTTAGATAAGGTTTAAAATAATTTTAGCTATAACGCAGTAAATATCACATGGAGTGTAATATCTACGAAATAAATATATTCTGACGGAATATAGACACTTGACTTCCCATGCTTTCATAACCGCCGATTAATGCGTGCTTCACAAAATTTAAGACATTGATTAATAGGAAAGATTATAGCACAGAAAACAATAAATAAGATAATTAAAATTGGAAAAAAATCTAAACTGTTAAACTGGTAAATTGCAAACTGTGAAACGGGGCCCTTTTGATCAACTAGACCCCAAAGTTTTCACAGTTAATTGGCGATAATCGTTGGCACGTGTCATACAAACTTGTGAACACCTGGTCAAATAAAGGTCAATGGTTTTATTTACGATATTAATTGAATTGAAAAGTTATATCAAATTTTATTTTTCGAATATTCGTATTCGTTTTTCAATGTTCGAATATTCAGTAGTGTTTCGGATATATAATATATAATTCCCGGCCCTTATATTTATAACTTCATTTCATCAAAGCACCTTCAGAATATTATAACATAAAAATGGAATAACAATGTTAAATTATAATGTCACATCCTTTGGTTGCAACTTGATGTTATTATTTGCTATACATAAGTAGAAGGAACAGTGTATAGTAATGTGACATATTTTCTTGCATATCAGACAGGATTTTCTACTGCTTACACAGGTGGTAGAAAAATCTGTTTTACACCCCCTCGAGAACTTTTTTTTTTTTCAAAACTCATTCAAAACATTTTTTTAGGAGTTAGAAGGTGTTTGAACTTTGACCCCTGTATATGTACTCAGAGTTACCACTCAATCATTATAAAAGCACTGCTCTTTTCATAATATTTTTGCATATTAGACAGGAATTTCTACGGTTTACACGGGTGCTAGAAAAAAACACCTTACATCCCAGTGTAAGACAATTCAAGGATGTTATTACCACATGCCTTTTAGAAGGCAACTTCTTGTTAGCCAAATAGGGAGAGCGTTGGACTGTGAAGGGGTAGATCCGGGTTTGATTCCTGACAGTGCAGTTCACTTTCCTTGTTATTGATCATGAAATTGTATCTGCGATCGTTCGCACTGTACCTCTGCTCTGGCATGTACAGAAGTTCAGTTCATTGCGAAAGTGAAAGCAACTAGTATTGATCAACTGCTTGACTGTCTGGCTAGGAACAGTGTGGTGGTTGAACTGTGCTCTGGTAAATTCAATGTGGCTAACTGCCTTGATCCGGACTGAAAATTTACCAACACCACCACATGATTTTTAGAATAAACTGCATGCTTAGGATAATGTCATTTTGCCTTATGAATGAAATTGTAAATGTATACCCTACTGTAAAAAAAAGTGCTAAATGGCAATACATTATTAGTTTTTCTTAATTTCTGTCAGAAATATGATTTATTATTATCATTAAATATGCAAGGAAAAGGTCAAACACCAACTCATAACAGACAATAACAGAATTTTACACTAGCTGTGGGTATAGACTCAAATATCTCGCATAACAGTTTAGCAGAAAGTGGGCAGAGCTTCATTTCCGTTGTGAATAGTCCCCTCAAGCTAAATATACATTTACCAGTCTGTCTATACAGATGTTATGGTATCAAGAAAGATAACTTGTATATTAATATTTCAAACGAGTAATTGTGTTACTTCCCTTTAATTGTTAGTATATTATATATGTACCTCACTGATACCAGCATTTTCACTCGAGCTCTGGTCTTGACAACCTCTGATAACAAATAAATATAAATATTAAAGCTAGAATCTTGTATCATCCATGCAACATAAAAACTGGCTGCCAGTGTAAGATTTTTATATTATAGAGGAGTTTTTGTATTTAACTTCTTATGAGCTTAAAATGATAATTGTTAACACTACCCCTTCTCTCTTTGCAGACCTTTTACAACAAAAATATATGCTGAAAAAGACAGAGGGGTGGATAAATCGGCATAAGACACGGATGATGATACACTCCATTATTATATATACTATGTTATGACTGTGTTAACTTTGTTGTTATATCAATTAATATTAGAGCTGTCATCGATAGAGACAATATCGATGTATCATTGATATTTATCTCTAGATCAATAATCAATAATATACATTTTAGAAAATCAATAATTTTGACCTAATAATTGAAAGTCTAGAAATTATAAAAATTCACCCAAAATATATTCAAAAGCAGGTGGCCATGTCTAACACTAAGTTGTTGTTACATAATGGACATTTCATAGTAGTGATGACAAGAAATGGTCAGGAAAAAAGTCATGCAAAGGACATTTATGAACAGGACACAACATATTTGTATGAACAGTACATGTATTTTTAAACTAAAATTATCTAAAGTGAATTATTTACAAGTAATTAAGAGTATTTATCGATATATTTGTCAGCCGATATCGATTTATCATCAATATGCTTTGCACTGAATCGGTGACAGCTCTGATTCATATTAAACAGTTTTATGTTGAATCTGTCAAGTACAGTTTTTGGTCTCATTCAATGATTTTGATCTATTTGGGGATAAAGTTTCAGGTTGTGATATGTGAATATATAAATGTGTGATAAACAGTATTAACATATTTTCTGGTGATGGTCTGAAAACATTGATTATATCTCTGTAAAGCAATATGATAATTATCTACACAAATCTGTGCTATGATTAAATTTATTACATGCTTTTTGGTGGTTTATAGAAATACATCAGTGAAATACAAAATTGATATTTCACTGTTTGAAACAGTGAGATTATCAATTTGATATTTTTGTCTGTTTTGAATTCAAGCCCGTTACATTTTTTTAGTGGAACACCAGCGTGCATAGAACTGGAAACCAACTTAATGATGTAACGTCATAAATGACGTCATGTTGTATTATTATTTGCAGCGATTTCCATTTAGTATTAGGTTCAAATGTCTTTTTAAACAATTTTTTGTATAAAATAAAAAGAAACTTTATTTAGTTTAGTGTAAGATCGAAAAATATTACACCTCGTGAACACCAAAAGTTTATATTTCACTCTTGGCTGCGTCACATGTGAAAAATACTTTTTTTGTGCTCAATGAAATTAATTTTGATCTAACACTGAACTAAACAAATATCTTCTATGTAAACTGTGCTCCTCTTAGTTCATGGTAATTAACGCTTTGAAACAAAAAGGGAAACAAACAATTTAAGTATGGTAGAAAAAAATGTTTATAAGCTGTAACATTTAGGTACTAATTGCTGTATGACACAAGGAAACAACAAAATATTCAGTCAAAATCAGATGTAATGGGCCAGATGTAGACCATAGGTTAACAATTTGAAAACTGTCATAATCTAAATCATGGTAAATGGTGTTACATTCTACCGGTAGTTGTTTCAGTTGAAATTACTAAATGTTAAATTGCTCAATTTTAACTGTTAAAACTATATCTACTTTGTAATTCAAAATTATTTTTTGACAAAACAGACTATTTAGGAAATGATTATTGTTCCAGACGTATGCATACATTTTAAAATATTTTGCACAAAAACTTTATTGTCAATTTTGTCCAATGCTAAAGATCCTGTATGTTGTAATTAAGTTGCTTACCACACTTGAGTGTAATTTTATATTTGTATATAATTCTGCTTCTAAAACAATTTTCAAACATCAAAGAATATTTGAAATATTTACTTCAAATATTTGTCCACATTATATAAATGTAATCATTAAAATATATGCATTATTGAAAAATTTGACTTGGACTTTATAGGGAAAAAAAATCTAATTACCTCCCTTTATTAACATGAAATGTTAGTTCGGTAATATCTTTACAAATAATGCTTTTTGGAACTTACAATATTGATAAATCTTCATTTGAGCATCATATTTATGATATAAAACCATTAAAAAATTAAATTACAGGATCTTTAACACTGGTTATATGGAATTATACCATTACTGTGAAATAAGTGATGGCGCTGAATTAGTGATGTTGATTATATATAGATGATACTGATAGAAACTTCCAAATTTTTTCAATATTTACCTCCCTTGCCAAAAGTGGCAGGCATTTTTGGGGTCAATATTCTATATCACATAATACACCGATTGACAGTTTCCAAACTAGCAAACAACAGGCTTTTCTTATCAGTAGAATTGCGAGTAAAGATGACCGATTGCATATCTCACTGTATAAATCATATGTAATAACCGTAAATTGAAATACCTTTATTGTTAAATGATGTTTTGAAATATTTACTGAAACGAAGTTAAGATCACAAGCTTTCATCGGTGAAATAAATATTAAAATGGGACATTAAAATGCCCCAAACTAGATTTTTAAAAACAGCTAAATTTGTATTGTTTTATCAATAGAAATATCGATTTTGCTTGAAAATAAGGAAAAAAAATCACTCTATATACCTTGGTTATTAGAGACTGTCAAATGGTGTACTGACAAAATATGAAAAAGATAATTTTTAACAGCTGATTTATGTGAGTATTCAAATTATTTTATATATATGCAGCAAAGTGTTACTATAACACCAATATGTAAAAGATTTTAATCAGTTTTCATGGAGTTACTAGAATTTAGAATTATGGGAGAGTCTGTTAATATGATATTTTAGGAATGACCCCCAAAATGTTGGCCAGGGGAGGTGATAATTGCTACGTGTAAGCATCTATAATGATAATGTACTGACTTTGCTTTGGTTCTGGCACTGCAACAATATGTTCTGGCTATCCTTTATCTGCTTGAGTTTGACATACCTGCCATAATGTCAGGGAATGTCCCGGATATAAGGTGTCTGTCCCGGAGGTGTCCCGAAGATGATTATTTTTATTTTGGACTTGTCCTAATTTAAAGTTGCATGCCTCCAGATGAACAAAGATGTTTTAAGAAAATCAAATTCAAGATAAATAGTACTGAGATTTTTGGAAAAGATTCCAGATAATTTTTATGTTGTGTGCAATTTATGACCGATTTTGCAATATTATTCACCATATTTATACTAGCATTACGAACATCGTAAGGGCTGTCGGGACAATTCTTTTATTATCATAATATTACACCATTTCAGCAAATATATTTTCACTGCATAAGTTATTTGATTATAGTACATGTATATTGTCATTTTTCAAAATTTCACTTGACTGTGCTGGAACGTATAAACTTATAAAGCTATAGTGCCATATTATTTTGTTTAAAGTGACATTATGCTCTTTTTTTTTTTCGCTATACCTGTAAAGATGGGCTTTTATAATTGTGATTGACCAATGATTTATAACTTATAGGATAAACGTGTGTGTTATGAAAAAAAAAACTACCAAAGTTATGGAAAGATTGCCACACTCATTTGCATTACTTATACATTCTGAATGCTATTTACAGAAAGTTCTGTTGGTGACATGGATTATTGATAATTTTGCCATAGTACAATATAAAATTGACAATAATTAAGGCAAATCATTGAGTTATTTTTACCTGTTCACTGACCATTTACACTTGGTTGGGTATAATGTCATTTTAAGGATATAAATTTAACCAGAAATGTATGTATAAATTTAACCAGAAATGTATGTTCTGTACTTCAATATCACCAAAAGAATATTCCGATTTTAATGTCCAATTTGAATGTATATAAAAGTTAAACTATTATAAACTGTTAAAAATAAACTGTTATGAAAAATAAATATTTTATTGACAATTATTTTGCTTACTTATTCCATTGAATTTCAAAATGAAAACCAGATTTTTTTTCCATTGAGTTTGTACGAATATTTTATTTTAATGTAATATTGTTTGCAAAAACAATCCACAAATTTAAGAACCCACGAAAATGACATTTTTGACAAAATTACGAAATTTCATGACTTTGAAATTATTTGAATTCACAGTATTTAAGATTTCTAGTCATAGAGTATATAATACTTCAGAATTCTTGTTCTTGTTCATTTCTCGGGTTTATGTGTGCATCAGGTTACCAATAAAACAGTTGTTAACTGCTCAGAGGTTTTGTTCTTGTGCAGTTTTCAAAAACATTGTTTTTAACATTTATTTTAGAGATAATTGAATAAGCTTCCGAGAAATCTCAAGAAAAAAATTTGCTGATATAAACAGGGTATCTCGATGTATAACAAATATTCGACATTTGGTAACGGAACTTTATGTTGATGTTCTTCTATACTGACGTCACATTGTTGGGAAATTATCGCAATATGTCCTATCTTAAACATTATGGGCCAAATTTGAACTTGCCAAAAGCCTATTGTGGCTGAGGGGTTCCCTTTGATAATTGAGGCATAAGGATTGCAGCCACCTTTCATCCCTGCATAATCGTTACGTAAGAGGCGACTTAAAATGGGTTTGAATAAACGGAGTCCATGCACCTCTAAACTCCAGCAGGTAAGGAAGTTTTGACCCCTGGAATTGCTTTGAAGTTTGTAACAGTTCAGTGGTCATCTTTACTGTTTCATTGCCATATATACTGGGTTTGTGCGCTGTAAAATCAAACAAACAAGAATCATCTGAAATGTAGTCTCCAAAATTTAAAGACATTCTTTAAGTTGTATACCAACTTTTGAACACGTTTGTTATCATGCAAGGGAGACAACAATGTAATGAAGAATATAAATTTTGTTTGATTATTCTCCCTTTAATCAATTATGGCGCTAATACATGTATTCTGAAAGTACAGTTATCTCCCTTCAATAACTTATTGCGTGTTTTCATTTGATAACAAATATATGAATTTCTCATTATCACTATACATTAGAAATCTTTCACTTGTTTTACATACGTCTATATAAAGGACCTCTCTGCGAATAATGGATGCGGGAGTTCTTATTTTTGATGTTCCTTCCAGTATTTCTGTACAAAAAAGGAAGAAAAAGTTGACCTTGAAGGATTTTAAACAAGATTGCTTCACCCACAGCATATATATCTGTGAAGTATCTTACTTTAAGCCAACCTACTTTACTGAAAGTGTTTAAAACTGTCATTGTGTTTGGAATTGTCTAACTCGAAGAATATTTTAATTGATGGCATTATATGAAAACAGCTGTTGTATGTCCCTGAATACATTTTAATTTTTGTGAGCTATATGAGATAGAGTACTTCTACCAAGATGCTAACCTTAGTCAGGCACGAAATAAATTGAGGTTTCACCGCTGGATTCTATCATAAACTTGTGTATTAAATTTGTAAATAGTGTTTTATCCAAGTAATGTATAAATTAAAAAAACGAAGAGACGGAAAAGGTTATTTCATGCATTGCGAAATTCTCCAGTTCGCTATTCATTGTACATATCGAGACATTTTTGCGACGGACGCGCCCTCAGGCGCGTTCAGAGCTAAGTCATCTACACATGGGATTTCGTTGGCTACACTCGCGCAATGTGTCCTAAACCAATTAACAGCCCAAGAAATAGTACATGAATTTGATCCTTCAAAACTTCCATACTTTGTCTGGATATCTTAATGTCTTCCATATTAAGCCTTTTCAATTTCAAATTAAGTTATCCAAGTTAAAATATGAACGTATATTATTGATAAAAACGTTGTAGTCCCGTAGTATTATTGCGCAATATGCAAATTACTGCTGAAACGATTTACCGCTGTCGAAAAAGTAGGACAGCAAATTATGCTACAATAAAGGTGTAACCTCTGAGTTCCAAGACATTATTAGTAGGACATAAATATTTCTACATTATACAAAACATTATTATTAACAAATCAAAAGTTTTTCGTGACTCTAGGATAACTCGCGCATTAATAAAAGAAGAACTATTTTCGTGACTCATACCGCGGGTTTAGCTGAATATTCAGCAGTTATTAATATATTAGATACAGTACAATGGTTAGTATAAATATTTATTTTTGAAAATGCATGTAAGACACTTTACCGCCATGTAGTCTTTCATGGTAAGGAAGTTGTAATATCAGTTCTACTTCCGATTCTTGTGGTTTGTTTACATATTTTACTAGGTCATGATATGAGTTAACCTTCGCTATTCTAAAAATAGATTCTGCTTCACCTGTTCTGATTTTTGGACAGGCGATTAGGAAGTACACATTAAACATGTAATTAATAAACCAGCGGATTGTAATGCAATACTTTTAGAAATGCTATACAATTATAAGAAGCAAACTAGTTGAAAATGGAATTTAGTGTGAAGTTGAAAAGGACAACTAAACACTGTAGTGCTTAAGTGACATTTAAATTAAAATTAAAACGATGTGCTCTGGCCTCTACATCTTTACCTTGTAAATAAAAAAAATCTAAGAAATACACTATTAATTGCTGATGATT